TTGGCGTGTAAAAATGATAGCAGCCGAAAAATCGTAAAAATGGAGGTGTTCCGTATCATCGGTAAGTACAATTTTTATTGTTTTCTTGTAGAAATCTTATTTTATTTCAATTTACAAAAACAGTTATTAAAATAATATTATTTACTAAAACGGTTAGTCAAAATCAACCTTACGCCTTCAAGATAAAGTTTATTTTGGATTTATTCCATTCAATAGAACATTCTCGCCAGTTCTACGCTACTCAAATAGTTATGTAGTCAAATCACATATTGAATTTATCGATTGATATCGATGCAAGTGTAATGTAACATTTATTTAGATTATTTTTTTATTATTATTTTAGTGGTGACCCCGACGTGATTGGAAGCAACCTTCACTTCACGGAGCAGATCAGCACCGTCATCCTTATCGCCATCCCTCTCATTTATCACATTATCCATATAAAGTTTGTAAAAATTTATGTAATAGTTGTTACTTATATTGCCTATGTGAAATAAAAAAAATGATTTTTTGAAAAAAGAAACTAATAAAAAATACGAACAAAATGGTTTTTGATTTACATGTAAATAAATACTTACCCTTTTTTGTTACGTTTAAAAAGTTATCAACGACATATTAATTTTATTATTTTAATACTGTCACACTATAGCAGTCAATATTTTTTTTCATATTATTTTTAAAACACATTTTCATATTATCGATATTATTTTTATCGAATTATCCTACATCACTATCTGAGTAGAGACCCGCATTCGAGCCAGTGATAAGCCATTCAAATATCACCTTTATTCTTACAACGTTAAAGTTCAAACCAAGTACCACTTTTCGTCGCTAGATGGCATTGTTAAACGCCATCTAGCGACGAATGGCGGTACTTGGTAGTCCAAAACATACTTTTTTATTTTGATTTATAGTACATTGGTTTTAAAGTTGCATATCGTATGATATTTTTTTTGCATTTCGTTTACGCCCATTTTTTTTCTAACCAATCGTAATTTCCGATTTATAGTATGAGTAAATTATAAATGTATTAGTTTGGCGACACCGGTTCTGGCAGAAATATTGTTTCAAGCTACTTCCATTGTATTCTATATTCCATGGTTTACACTATCAAACGGTTTTAGAATATTTTACAAATATGTATACTTCCGCCAAGGTCACTCACCTTATGTCTCTAAAAAGAATATATGTCCTTACGGGTGCCTGTTTGGAGAAAGCAGTCCCAAGCTGGATAGATCATCAATAGATAGATATCTTCGAAAATAATATTATTTGTTTGGGTGTATTGTAAATGGCCTTACAATAGCTCCATATACAAAATACCTAAATATATTTATATAGCCATTCGTACTTCAGCCCTGCCTTGTCCTACAATTAGTAAATTCGTAGGTAGGTCAACAATTTTCTGACTTTGAGACTCAACATACAGGTGATAAGTGGGTGTTGTTGTTGTGGCACCCGTTTATGGATTTAACTTTTTGACTTCGTATTCATTTATATTTACTATGATAACGATTTTACAACATTCTACATACATACTATATTTGCAGCACTGCAGCTGTATCTAAATGCCATTTCGCGCTTGTACATGTAGGATAGATATCTAAATTACATGGAATTGACGTAAATTTTGACACTTGTCAGTGTCATCCCCATACATTTGAGGGCTGGTTAAATCCCCATACATTTCAGGGTTTGGCTCTGGATACTGGTGTATCATCTATAGTCTTCGGTATACACAACGCCTCACCGACTAATAGCAAAGGTATCGTGTTTGGGCTCATTTTGATGGTCTCAGTAAATTGTTTGTAGATACAGCGTTATTATTTAGACATGACACTTGGGACATATTTTCAGAGGAGAGCTACAGGAGTAGATAAGTAGGTAAAATAAAACAACAATATCGAAAATTATTATATTTATTATGAACAGTGTCTATTCTCGCTAATATTTTAAGAGAGCTCACTGCTAGCTTAACAATAAAATTACGTAATAATTTTATAGACGTTTTCCAAGTCAGCTTTTATAGCGATCAACTAAAACTTCTGTGAACGACGGACATGCGCGAAGTCCAGAACTAATAACATTATGTATATTACAATAACTTACATAGTTTCGGAGGCGGTAACCTTGTGTGTACAGATTATTTGTCAAAACATACACAAAACTGTCAAATACTACATCCAACACTAAATTCATAATGTCAATGTCATTAATTTATTTATTATTAATATCATTTCACTTGGTATTTAATTGATTATAAAAGTATAGCTGGGGTCTATCCCAGAAATCTATTTTCTGTTCAAGATTTTAGATTAATATGACTTAACTATTTCTTTTATTTCTGGGATTATTGGAAGCTTCACAAATCGGAAATAGATTCCTTAATTAATATGTATACAATACCTATTGTAGCCAGTCTACGTATCTACAGAGTATTGACCGATTTACTATCTTTTTTTTTCTTTGAGATCTGACCCTAATCTAAAAAATAGCAGGTGAAATCATATTAACCAGAAAAAACACCTGTGTCAACAAAATCTTTAGAACACAAGTGCACCGACTGACGTTACCGCAAGACGAGTTCCACAAACTTATACCGAACATTGCTCACTAAGCGCGCCATACACTTTCTGACACGGCCTGGATTCGTGTACCCACATCCGCATTATGTCAATGCGTCACAAAAGCTCTCATACACTGAATCACTAACTTATGACATACTGTGTCACAGAAGTACTGACCCACTGCGTCATAAACTTCTGAAACACTGCGTCACAAATGTTCTGATGCACTGCATCATAAAGTGTCACTCAAGTTCTGACTCTGACATAAGTAGTGCGTCACATAAGTTCTGACACACGAACAATACATCTACTCAAGGTGCAACTTTTACAACACGCGTCAAACTTCAGTTTCACAGATCAAGCCTATATAGTGATAATTCCTCGCAGCATTTTTCAATTAGCATTATATTAAGATTTGTTTAAGGTCGTTAAATAACTATTTGTGTGTTTTGTTTTATAGTATGTACAAAGCTATTGTTAATCAAAGTTTTTAAGGTAATAGAGTAAACTGATGTTAGTTACAGTTATAATCATGAAAATGCCACGTAGGAAAATTCAAGGGGCTCAATCTGTCCCATTAGTGCTGTGGCAACCTCACTATCAAACAACACTTTGTACATTAACTCTGTGACGTCATATTCCCAAACAATTACATAATAAATGCACATACATAAACAATACTCGTTTTATAGACCATTGCATAGTCCCAAATTCAATCTAAACTAGCTTCGAACTTTCACGGTACTACTAAACGTAGACTTTCGATCGAGATCTCCCAGCACCTCAAATAGATAAAATTATACAGGCCCTCTATTTCAATCAAGAATAACTTAACACTACACAAGTGTTTCCACCGAACACATTAAATACTAAAGCAAAAAAATACAGTAAGAAATAAATACGATACGAAAATAATACTTTACAAGTTTTGACGTTACACATTATAAGTATATTGCAAATGCTGACCATAATTACAATTAAGTCTAACAACTAATTTTAAACAGTATTCAGGTAAATGTTAACAAATTTACGAATATTTTTTATTATTATGAACTAAGTATGTAGAGTAACAACGAAATTCGTGCAGGCACTATTCTCACTGTGTTTCTAATAACAGATACTGTCGGATAAAGCTCCGCTCATATCAAAGGACATTAGAGTTTAAAAGGTGATGGAATACAAATAAAAATATTTTCTATTGCTTCTTAAAAAGTCTTGGACTCAGTATTGGACTGACTTTAAATGTGCATTTATGTAATAAGTATTCCAAGAAATAATATATGTTCATTATATCCTCCAACATCTAAAGACATGAACAGAGCTTCTAGGAAGTTGCTACGTTAGAATTAATAACCATTGTTGTTCCTCGAGTCCACTTCTAAAGGAGCACCTTTGTACTAAGACAATAGCGTACATTTTCGAAAAACAGTTAAATACAACAGTTGTTTCAAACGTAACAACTTCTCATATAAACGACTAGTTTAATTTATCCAACGATAGTGAAACTTGACCGACTAAATATTTTAATATTAATTTCTTAGATTTAAAACAATTCCTGATTTCTTATCAACTTACATACAGATAATTTCGATGGGTGAGTTTTACTATATTTTTGTTCTAAACGACTGCTATTCTATAATTGCGATCTTAGCTAAACATGTAGTAATTGAATATAGAGGTACACACAAACAATTAATTTTAACATTTATGTTTTTGGTGATTCAATATCTAGCTAACATATAGAATCCATGATTTTTTGGTAAATATATTTAAACGCTTTTCCATTTAATAGGGGTAAAAAAATAACTTTATTTCTCTTCAAACTGAATATTTAACTATTAGGAAGAATCTATTGGATCATTAGGTCATTTGGAATAATTTATTTTATTTGTTTGTATCAGAATTAGCATTTTTGAGCACCTTAGGTTTACTTATATGGGAAGGTTAATGGAACAATTACTGATCAAGGGAATATAATAACTAATTATCCAAAATGTATTACTATTCTGTACTACCCGCGTAGCTATTGACACTCGTTGGAATGGCCAGTGTTGCAATGTCAGCTATGTAATACAATTATGATTCGAGACATGTACCTGAAGCAAGCCTAAGCTTCAAAACTTTCGGTAGATATGCGAGTACTTCATTTGTTTACAGTTCTACGTAAGTAATGTAAAAATAATATCATACTATAATTACTATAATAGGGATGATGACAGGGTATGAAAATTTAAATCTTCTTAGTCCGTCAGTAAGAAAAAATATTAAACACGTATTTTCTTTTTATTTTTTCGTATAACAAAACAATAGGTACTACTAAGATAAAACTAATCAAAGTTTAGGAGTGGGAATGCTGTCATTTTTTTAGTATAAAACGCACCCAAAACGGATGTCATACGATATTTCAAATCAATATATCGTCGAAAGTATTTGTTTACGAAGTAAATAAAAAATACGTGTCTGATCTCTGACATTAAATAAAAACAGTCATCTACCCTATTATATCGAATTATTCAGTAACAAACCGCTGTTTCCATATCCACCCTAAGTACGCGTTATTTATTCCACGTACACATTAATAAAATTTACGTAATTACTTAATTTCCCTTGCGAATAAAACATCTACTCTATCCGCTATAATTAACGCTCTAACTGCACAATATTCACATCAAATATATTTAAAATAATGACTTTCTTTATATCTCAATACAGCTACTCGTTAACCTATGGAAATAAATTAGAATTTACTAAATGACGCGCTAAATCATTTAATTCTCAAATAAACCAAAATGTTCAAGTTCTCATGTACCGAATAAATTGCTTTCAGTCTAGAAAATAATTGGACGGACATCTAATTTGAGGTTTCCAATTTCCATGCACCAAAAACAATTAAAATAATATAATAGAACTGAGCACGCAGTGCAATTAATGCGTATTTATAGTTACCTCCTGCAGGCATTGAGTAGAATTTCACCATTTACGTTCTAAAAAGTTTAGCAATAAACAAACATGGACATAATATGAGTAATCTGCGTTAAAAATAAAAACTATTAAGTGAACCCACCACGCAACAAGAATGTAGGTACAACGCAGCATGTAAAACAATTTATTTTCGCTGTCTATTGTCTTAAATATTTCTATCAAAATAAATCTTAAGCAAATAATGCCGAATCTATACTAAAATACCGAGCATTAAAAAAATAGGTATTCAAGAATTATAAAATACAAAATACGTAAGTGACTAATAAAAGGAATAATCGTAATTTTATAAAATGGCACAAGATTTGTTGATCCTTAATTTGGACGCCTGTATCATCAATTGCGTTGAATATCATGAGAATCGTTTTTTTTTTCTAACTACGTAATGAGTGCCAGACAATTATCTTTTATCACAGGATACCCAAGACCTTGTCGAGGCAGCATAAAGAACTGTCTAGTCAAACTTATCATTCGAGAACCAAAATAATATCGAATTTTAAGATCTTTCTGCCAAGGAGAATAGCTAAACGAGTCTAGTTCGACATAATGTTATACCTAAGTAACTGTCCATGGAAGATCCTTAATATCAGTTATTGCGTATAAATATATTAATATTCAAGTAGTAATATGGAATAAATAGAAAGATAATGTATACAAGGCTGGCGCGAACACATCTTTATTATAAAATTGTTATTGCATGTGAATGGTTTTTATTTCAATTAAGCTTTAGGAAAAATACACCACCTGAAATCTGCGCAAGCCTTACATGAACATTAAAGACGACTTAAAGTACTAAAATAAAATACAGACCTAATCTAACTATTAATCGTAAAATTGTAAACTAAATTATTGAGAACATGTAAATTTTGAAACATGTACCTAACGTGTTATTCCGAAAGTGTGTACATTAATCCTAATATACATCACATATATGTATATTGACCGAAAACGTTGTATATTACACGGACATAATTCACCTTACAACTACATATTTATTTATATTAAATATCCAAGTAACAATTTAACTGACATTATTGCGTTTCTCACTGTAGGTTAGTTATTTGAATGGAATTTTATATCTATCGTATTCTTATATTTGTATATAATACACCTAAAGTTTTAGATTATGGGGGTTTAAAAGGAAACTATGAAGAGACTAAGTACGAAATATTCACATCTAAAGACCAGTCCTGGCTTTGGGGACCTACAAATTAGAAGACGTTGAATTAAAGTTCAGCAACGATAATGATAAGAAACAGTTAAAATCCAGTGTCATTTACTATCTCTGATCTAGCGAACAATAGCTACAGAACGACACTTTGGATATTTACAAGTATGTATAATTAGTGGGACCACTACATTCAAGATACCTAAGCCGAATCTATCTTTGTATTTTTCACTAACAACCAACTTTGAACGACCCAAAAATAGCTTACACAATCTAAATATCTCCAATCTATGATCTCATTTTCAAAAATACTTGTACCTATAACATTTATATGGCATTATACATTATGTATACACTATTTGTATTGATATAATATATTATTATTATAAACTTGCACAACATGGCTATTGAAAACTGTTAACAGGCTTATACGAACAATATAAAAATGCTTACTAAGTACATAAAAGGCAGCAGTATATACTTTTATGAATGAACAACGTACTATCTATATGGCTTGTCAAAATATATATTCTTCTGTGGCGATAACGTGTTAAACTATGGCTTGTATTGTCAATGTTTATTGTTATGTGCTCGAAAACAACTACAAGCTAAAGCGTGACAGCTTAATATTGCTGTGATTTATTGCGATTTGTACAACATTCACGGGGAACCAACATTGAACACAATCATTTAAAATACTAGGACTAAATACTGAGTGCGTCAGGTTATATTCCTAGTGTTTGTTACAGGCATCTGTTATTGCTTTTGTCTCCTTATATGAACAATTATATATTTTCTTTCTTTAGGACTATTTGTGGCTCAGGCTACACTATCATATAATTAACAAGAAACAGAGCCAATTATTGTCTTATGGAATCTGCTTGAATAAATTGTAGTTTGCTATCAACTTCCCTAACCTAAAACTTTAAGACGACGTAATCTACACTATCAGTTATATTCAAATTAAAATGCGAAGATACTGCAGTAGTCAAGCAAGATAATACACTAGCAAATATGTTATTGCTTCTGTCTTTTAATAATATTTAAATAAACATAATCCTTAACGCGGAATCCTACTTTGTACAAAAGTTTGTGTTAAATAATAGCGAGAATTACTGACTCCGAGTGACGAGTAAAATATAAATACAGTCACAGTTTGTAATGTTAAACATAACTGGCCATTATATGAAAAATAGAAGTAAAATAAGTAATTGAAATTCAATTTAAGATCCGTACATTTCGGCATGAGATTCAATGAAGCGAGGTGTGATATTATTCCCTGCATCAACAACCGGCGTGAGGAGTTCTTCAGATTCGGATGGCACTTGGATACGAATTCTATTGTCTGAGGGTAGGTTGGTGGAGCCGTTGCTGGTGTAGAAGCCGAGAGAGACAGGTTTATGGTGTTCCTCGTTGTTATAGGCTTTGTACTTGGATGGGCTGATGGGGTGCAGGTGCGGGCTGCCGGCGCGAGGGTTGTAGGTCACGTGGATGCGCACCACGTCGTCTGACATCGGCGACACGGACGGTGGGTGCGGCGTCGCGCGCGGAGTCGAGTGCGCCGTCGACGGAGCCCGCTGTATGCTCAACCCGCAAATGCCCGAACTGAAATATTATATTTACAATCCTATATAAGTATGGTAACTACTAACACAATAGGGTAGATGACTCATTTTTAATTTAGTGTCCGTCTGGTTCTTTACTACAAAACATTAACCTTCAAGCGGGCGCGCGGTCTTTTGTAACGGGAGCGGGCGCGCGTAACCGAATAGACCTATGGGATGATTAAGACCAAGAAAGCAATAATTATGGAATAATAATTTATTAATTTGTACTAAGATACAATATCATTGTCTTTAAAGAGAAATTTGTCACAACAAGTAATTAAAATTGTGAAAAAGAAGCAATTATTACGTCACCTAAAGTAGCTCAAATATTCTTCGGATCAAAATAAAAATTAAGACTCGTTTACATATGTTAGGTTGGTTTATATACGTAGACCAAAAAATAAATAAAAAGTAAGGATAAAACTCTAAAAACTCATTCATTTTGATTTTATTTTCGTCTGAGTCAGTATTCTAGTAATTTTTCAGATTTTGCTACTGCGTTACTTTATCGCGTCCTGTAAAACAGCTATTTATTTCCGAAAGCTACAAATTATTCTCATCTAAATCCGACAAGGATGATATCACATCAGATAGATGTTCTTCTAAAACTATGTGATGAGAAGTTTCAGAGCCTTGGTTGCTAAGCTCTGATTCACTCTCTTCTTCGTCTTCTCTTTGTAATTCCTCGATTACTGTACTTTGCGATAACCATAAACGACTTATTTAAACAAAAAATGCTTTAAAATACCAAAACTCCAAGCTGAATTAGTTAATATTGACATGTGTATGTCGCGTTGGGCGTCGCGCGTAACCTATTCGACGACAGGCGCGTGTAGTCTTTTAAACGACTGCGCCAGAGCCTAAACAATTGTGATTTGTGGAGTATAGAGAGCGCTTCAAGCAACGAAATAGTTTTTATTTTACTCCTAAAAAGATAGTGACAGGCTACTAGAAATTAGAAATGCATGTGGCACCTAAAAATAAAAATATGAACGAAAATGTATTAACCGCGGTCGATTCGACTACGCGCGCCCGCTTGAAGGTTAAACACATATATTTTTATTTTCTTATGGAAACAAATACTTTTATACGTTTATACTTAGAAATGACGTAGGTAACTGCCACTTCTAAACTTTGACTAGTTTTATCTAAGTATTGTATTCTTATGCTAAATAAAAAATACGTATCTAATATTTTTTTCATTACCTAACTGACGGACTAAATACACATTTAATTGTCATCATCCCTATTGCTGTTAATTATTTACTAAAAACCCATTTACTTATAGACCACATAATGTGCAAACTAAGTGAAAACTCATAGCATAGCCTATATCAATGTAAGATAATATATGCATTGTAAAATATTTACAACTAAATGTTCTGCTAGCTCTGTAGTCAAACTAAGCAGAAATATAGAAGACCATAAAATGATCTTTAGCTTTAAAACTCATACGATCAAATGACACCTGGTACATATTTCAGCTGCAACAGACAACAAACCAAGCTTATAAGTTATGATCATTAATTTGCCATTTAATGATTTGCTCTTGAATGTATGAATGACCTAAGCAAGCACTTTTACTAATATGCCTAAATATGCAGATTAACATAGACATAGTAGAATAAATTAAAAGTTACATAACATTTGTTTAGTTCCCGAAGTCACTGTCTGTGACTGCAGCCAATGAGCAATATATCTGTTGAGATTTGAAGATTATTAAAACGGTTACTCATCAATCATTTTGCTCAAAACATTGAAATTGCTGAATTGCATAGGTGCTATAAGTCTATCAGGCAAAACCATCGAAACATTTTTGGACAGGGTAGTGAGGAGAGAACCAAAGAAATTGCACATACAGGAGGCACAAACAGTGTAATGAGTGCATTCTACATCTACAAAACATCTCACCCATCTGACCCAGTGGCATCATCGCTGACGTTGGAATGTGTGTCCAGCGAGTTGTCCATGGCATGAGAGCGGCCACTCGAGAACACGCTCAGGTCGGCCGTGCTCGTCACGCTCGTGTCGGCGAGCGAGCGTCGCGACCCGAGCGCCGACACCGAGTCATCGCAGCGGATCCCACCCGCCACGCCGCTGTGCTCTGTACAACAACACACCCACCGTACAATAACATTATATCAACCAACATATAACACAGTCATACACCGCTATTTGCGAAATGCTCAGCTTTCCTCCCCACTTTGTCTGCTAAGCTGTTCGATCACTGTTATCGTGTATCCCCACGCGTAGTATGACTGTATGTCTGTCTGCCATGTCTTTCATTAGCCACACTAGCTTTATATGCATAGCACACAAAACAAAAAGCAACACTTCCATGCAAAATATTTTATACAATTCTTACCTTGCTTATGGCACAACGTCAAGCAAATTGAACGTATGTAGGAACACAAAACGCACATGCAATATTTTCGAACCTCAGTAATCTCTGCTCGTACAGCTCAGTGAAATTAAATAAGAAGTAAGTACAACACGTATGGCTCTTATTTATTCAATACATACATACATATTTACATCGAAATAGGGAAAAGGAAGGAACAACAATAATCAAAGTCTTCGTCTTCGCATTTTCTTATATCTCTCACTCTTTAGAAGGTAGCTGTACTTGAAAGACTGATTTTGTTGCACATGTACCGAAGTGAGGACAGGGGAATCTAGGTGAATGTCCATTGAAGCATGGGACGTACGAAGTGGGACGCCGATTGGAGATTTATTATCTGAAGAAAAACGTTGAATTGTGTTATCTCGCTAGTGACAAAGTAAGCCCGGGCTTACATCTACTATCTCGGAGAAGGCGCACTCGACATTTCAAAATATTTATTGTAGAAACAAGATAAGTTTCGCTATTTAGACTATCTAGGGTATTGGCATTCCAAAGAAACATTGTCACTGTGACCTAGTTACATTTTACAGGGGTCAAAACATGGTGAAAGCTGAAACATAAGGTAGTAGCGTGTCGATATGCGGCAGCCAAATTTAAAAGATGTTCTCTCCGAGGGAGAAAGCGTTGACAGTGTGTACATTACGTCACTCAGCGTACCACTAAAAAAAATCGAAATCGTGGTTAATTCACTGTGAATTGCGAACTCTATAAAAGGATAAATATTTTGCTACGTTAACTAATGATACCATTTATTGATCATCGAAAGTTAACGTTTATACAAATTACATCACCATTTAGCGTCGATCGTATTGCGTTTGCTGTTATTATCTACTGTAACAATGTACTGAGAAAAAAAACATTTTAAACGTGATAATTAGAAAAACAACTAAAAGCGACATTGATAAGATATGTAGGTATAATGTGTGCTGTGTCTACGTAATGCACTGTATGTGATGTCTAATTTAAACGACTAAAACATACCATTCATTACAGTTTTATGTGTTTTGTTTTTATAATTTATTGGCGTTCCTCATACCACCACGGGCGGCAATACTAAAAATAAAATTATATAGTTATGTTTCCTAGGGATATTCAATACACTCATGTACGGCTACATTTAGGTATTACTAAACTCCAATCATAAATTTATAAAACCTTGTCACTAGAGGAAAGTTGACCCGAATACTATGACTCAGTCATTAATAAGGGAATAGAGAGCTCCCACGTTCTGGGTCTGTTCATAGCGAATCGTTCAACTAAAATGCGCAGTTATTGTCAATACTTTTATTAGTTAATTAAACGTTTTGTTCCCATGGGTTAAAATTTAGGTCGTACTATGGAGGTTTCTTGATCTTAACTTAATACTAAGAGACAATTAAATAAGTTTTACTACGTTATCCAGTAATCGAATGAAAATATCATATGATAGGGGTGGGTTTATGTAACAACATTAACTAAGAGTGATATACGGATACTATCGAGCAGAGATTCGTGAAGCAGACGTCATAAACGGGGCAGAAGTATTGAAATTTAGAAATCAGAATTGAAGACACGAAAATTATTGCATCAAGTGCGTTTTGGGCGAAACGCAAGCCCATATAACAGTGTTGTAGTAGAATAAATGTTAATAAGGTTGTGAGTAGTATTAAACAGTTTACAGTGGGCGTAGCGTTATCTTATGAGAAATAGCACAAACAATGCAGGAAGCCGGGAATAGGACTTAAGATCTGAGGAGTTAGTAGCCTTATTATATAGAAATATTATTTAATAAACGTTAGGTGCGAATGGTATCATTTTAAGGGATTCTGTTCAACGATTGAAGACGAACACTCCTCAAATCTTAAGTAATGCCATGTTAAATGCATATCGTTTTAATCGTGTTAATCATGACATAAACCCACCTCCATACCACCAATTAACATGCTAGTGCACAAGTTCAAATTACGTCTAAATGTAAAACAAAATATGGATAATGGCTAAAATGCCATTATTGTTGATAGACTAGTCTATCAGTATAAGTGAAATACAAACAATACTGCAAGCCAGTGCAGCGTCAAACTCGTCTGCAGACACTTGCACAAGTAGGCATCACGAAACCAAACATTATGAAGGAAAATTTAGCAAAACATTAATCGAACTGAAAGGTATTGTAGCTGGACATCGTGAAGTAATGACGAGTCCCACACGCACGACAGCAGTAGACGCAATAAGGATTTATAAGACATGACATAACAGAAAAACTAAAAATATAGAAATAGTTCGTGCTAACCAAAAGATCTAACGATCTCACAACATGACTAATTAAACGTATTCGAAACTGCATTAAAACAATGATAGGTGAAGCGAAAATGAAAACTACAGGATGTATAAGTAAATAAATTAGATTATAATAATGTGGCTTCTACAAATACGTCAAACTTTTTGGCTAATGTCTTGCATCAACTTACTATTACAAATCAGAGTTACACTACAAATTGCTACATAAAGAATAAGACACTACCACAGGACAACATAATTATAGTACCTTGCCTTCACAAACACTTATCACATTCTTCAAAAAGAGCCATGGACTAAATAATACATAATTTAATTATTAATTTAAAAACTAACAATGAAATTAATGTTTCAATTACTTGTTAATGTAATTAGGTACATACAACGCTTGGTTGTCTGTCTCTTGTTAGACCCAAACATGCCATAAGCTACGCGCATGCCAATAATTTCGATAAACAACTATTAAATATTTAATTGAATTTTAATAATTTAATTAATTGAATAATAATCTCAACAACTTTTAGTTCAATAATTAAAATTACAATATTTAATAAACCACTAGGGTAACAAAGTAGCAATTATTTATCCATTGCCCTTTCAACTGTGTTTGCTGTAATAAAGTTAACTAAACTCGTATTCAGAAATAAATTAAAAATTAAATCTAACAAACGTACAAGTAAAACTAGGAGATACGCCGCATTGCTTTTCATTCCTGATTCATCGAACATTTTGCATGCATGCATGCATCATGGAAAAAAGCATACCACTAGGGCAGTTTTAAAACACATGAGTTGACATGTTTAATAATAATACTAATAAGTTTAACCGAACCGTTTACATGACAACTCTGTTTGCGAAATGTGCGGTTCTTATCAAAGTATGGTGATTCAGTTACAACTCTCATATCTGTCAGTCTTCACCACCTACCTACATTGTGTATTCATGATTACGATTAGGGTATATTTTAAATAATTTGTACTTATTAGGTCAAAATACTACATCATGATTTACCGAAAAAATCTAAGAGTAGTAGCTCTAACCTAAATCTATTTCAAATACCTGCTAAAGTTTCTTACTTTTGTCGACCTGTCTAAGACAGGAGATACCAGACTTCTATGGAAAGACACCCGAGAGCCGGCATCGAACCGACCACGGCAGTGTAACTATACTTACTACGGTTTGTGACATGATATGCGGCACCCACGTTGCCGGCATTTCGGGACTTTCCGACAAAAATGCCATTGCAATCTTACCCGACTGGCAAATTAGACTAAATAAAAATATTATTTCTTAAACTATTAAGTATTTTGCCGTGTATACAAATATCAGACAGTCACGGTTAACGAAATTTCTGAATTGTGCAAAATCAGTTAAGAACATGCATGGATTTACCAGTAATACAACGTGAATATCATGCAAATGTGTTTAACGACAGGCATCCAGATGCATGCCAAAAATTTACAGCTACCGTCTAGTACATCTAAACATGATCTAATACAGGAATTGTCGATGAAAGCAAATGAAACAATGAATATCAATTTAACTAGCCCAAAATGCTATTTTACACTTGCCGCTCTTATATTGGCACATGTGTTACGTGACCAAAAGTAACGTTACAAGATAACATCTTTAAATCTCAATTATTCATGAATGCGTTTCAACAAAGTGTGCCAATGTAAATGAGCAAGTTTTATAAATGCGTGAAGTGGTCGGAGCCAAGGCTCTCGTCGGAGGTGGTACGCGAAGTGGGTAGAGATGCTTCCAAATTACCTGACACTGTGTCACTCTGTGAGACTCGAAGCTCCTGCAATTCTATTGCAGCCTTTTCGCGTCTGTAACAATAAAGAATACATTTAAAGAAAATACTAGTAGCAAAGCTTGACATTTTAATATAGCTTTGGAGATATATTTATGTATGTATGTAGTAGTGGTGAAATGCAATGTGTTGCTAAAGAAAACTCTTCATTTCCGTATACTAATAACCTCCCGCCTTTGTCCTATGGTGGTAAGCACTCTTCTCTAGTCGTACTATGTAATACAAAAATTTCCCTTACCTCAATATCACAGTTGCTCTAGCCTGTTTCTCAGTCTCTGAAAAATTCTCTGCCCGTTGTCCAATCTTCGATTTTTTGTCGGGCTCCACAAATAAACCAAGCTGTCGTTTAGGCAGCTCGTTGGGTGGCGGCGGACCTGGATAGTCGAGCTTCGCTCGTTTCAACTCCTCCATTGATCGCTCCAAGTGATAGATTACAATATCATCTTCAAACCCAAAGTCTTTATGTAGCTTAACCTAAAAATTTAATACCTCATTCACTTACAACATACAATCTTGTATTAATATCCGACGTGGATATTAATACAAGATTGTAAATAATAAGTTTTAATTTGCATAGAAAAGCAGCACACCTGAATATAATTTACAATAAGATCCATATCATTTAACTTCATGATTGCTTTTTTGTGAAGCTTGAGTATTGTGTAAGCCATTGCAGTGACCACTCTCTCTCCGTCCAACAGATAAATATCCCAAACCCTGAGACATAAGCTAAATGGCACTCTCTCCACGAAGCACACAAAAAACCATTTCAGGGAATACAGGATGGCATCCAAGCCAAACTTGTCAAAGTGATGTTTCAATTTTGGCATAAATTTTGTGAGTATTTTATCATGATGTTCCAGAAATCTTGTTAACTTCGGAAATCCTTCTATATAGAGTCCATGCATGGCATACTTCTTATCTGAGAGCAGCACAGCCAGCGCCCAGAATGCATCTTCTTCATCCATATACATGAGCAGCACCCCCGCTAGACCAGACATTCCTTGACAGTAACCTACTTCCGAGTTATACATGCTATAAGCACAAAGGACATTGAATAATGAGCATTGTTTTTCTGAATATCGTTCTCTATAAAACTGATGTTCCCGGAACTGTCTGTTTACATCTGAATCAATTTGTCTTACATCTGTTGACCACAGCTTAGCTAGTTTTAGCATTTCTTGAAACTTCCCAGGATTAGCAGACTTAATTTTGTTAACATCCATCAACTTGCACCACACTTTTATTCGAAGTGAATTTGGAATGCCTTTGTATATTCTTCTATGGAGTTTTTCTTTGGTGGCTGGTGAGTCCCAATTAGTAAGCATTTTGACCCATTTTTTCTCCCTCTCCACTTCAATGTTGACCTTTTGGGGCCCTGTTTTCTGAGGTAAGCGCTCATCGTGTATGAATCCATATCTGTAAGTAAGAGCATCCTTCTATGTTAATGACAAATATCATAAACTAGTTCCAGACTAGGTATGAGATAACAATGTTATATAAAATTACTGCTCAAGCAAAAGTAAATAAAAAGATTTGCTGTGCCATTTATTTTAATATAATTTTGCAGAGCAAGATTTTCATAGCATTATAAATATTTTCGCACTGACAATATACACAGATTTTTGTCAAATCATATTCCTCATTGTAAGGAATTACAATAACCTAGGATTATTATGGAACCACTTTCTATTTTATCAGAGAAAAATTATAATTAAAAATAAAGTCACTTGCAATTTGATATGTTAAACATAAAGAAAAGAAAAGACTTCTATTGAATTATTTATTAATACACTGTTCATTATTTACGCTGATATCAGGTAAATTCTTGTTACAGAATTTAGTGTTCATATGATTTATATTTACATATTAGTAATTTTTCCAAGAAATGGGGATTTTTAAGTTACTCGTATTTATGAATGGCTCTTGTAATAATATGTATTCTGTATAGTACTGTATACTATGGTATAATGATTACACTTTTAAAAGACAATTTGAAACTTTGTGTTCTAACAATTTTAAAAAATTTATTGTCATCCACTCAAGATTAAACAGTCGACATTCAAATAAGTAAAAGCTTATTAATAATCACGAGCACAGCCATTATGAAATTTAAGGTGAACACACACTTATCTGAGCCCAGTCATACCAATCTGAAGTGTGTTAGATTTTTATGAGAATTCATATACAGAATTCTAAAATTTGTTTCGTTTCACTCATTTGGCTCGGATAAGTGTGCGTTTTAGAGGAAAATATTGAAAAATTATTAATAGGGAGGGAAGAAAGCAGCAGCATAATCAGGTATAATGTGATCCATTCAAGGTATAAAATCATATAATGATGCATAGTTATTTTTCCTCATGTGTGATGACAATTCTGACGGTTACTGTTCATGAGTACTTTGCAAAATATTGTTTCGCTAGCTATTGCCAATAAGTTTATGAATACCAATAACAAGTCAACAAGAAAGCTAAAACTTAAACCTCATTATTTAAATTTGCATTCCAGTAGACCAGTAAAATATTAATAACACTATATTGGGTGGAAATCAAATAGAAATTGTATAACAATTTGTAGTTGGGAATTGAACTCAAAACTGATGATGACAATTGGGACCTTGATTCATGTTACAATCTATTATCTAAGATTTATATGATAAACTAACATTATTATAATATTTGAACATGTATCATGTGATGGAAAGCATTTGATTTAAAATTTACACCTTTTTGAAAAGATTCTTAAAAATAGATGAAAAGTGCTATAACCATAAACAATTTAATAGAAATTGCAAAGAAATTCTGAACTGAAAGCTAGCAATATCATTAAAACTATAAAAAACTCAACCTAAATTGAATGGATATTATTTATTCTATTGAATTAATGTTTGATAATTTTGCCAGAATCACTAATCCAAGTTATGTCTGGCCATCCGGCAAAATCCAACTTCGTGAATTTTATATACAACCCTTATTATATTTTGATTTATAACATTATTTGCATCATGCAATCCACATATATTTATTTATCCAGTAGCTTGACATATGTTCCACTACTAATTATAGTACAAGGACATGAAAAATAATATTTATGTGATTTTAACAAATTAACTTGCACTGACGCAATGTATGTTTTATAATCTTCAATATAAATTAAAAGAAATGTAGACATGAACTGTTTCAAACAAACTGTTTATGGTGACATAAAACAAAGAAATATGAAAGCATAGCTCAACAAAGATTAAACTTAATGAGATTGCATCTGGCTAATTACAATTCAATAAATATAGCTCTACTGACATGCAAAGGCCATTTAATAAGTGATTGGGTAAACATTAAGTCATCAAACAATATGCAAATTCGCAAGACATCATAAAATAAGGCATACCGATCGGTTTTGTGGTAATCCTCGAACTCTGGATCCTCCCAGGGGTCTATTTGTCCGATGAGGTTCTCTCGACCCCTCTCGTATCGCTGGAAGATACGCTCCCGCTCCTCGGAAGCCCGTGCCAACAGTGCCTCCTCATTCATAACACAGCCTGGTCGTACCACATACCGAAACACCTACACGACGTACGATCTTTTCACCGGACCGACCTACAAAATACTTTGCTCACTTATAAGTAAGACTGACCCGTTTACAGGGCAGTCCTGGAAACATAAACTACTATTGAAATCATCACGCCCATTTCAATTGAAAATTCTTGGACGCTTGATGATTTGACGTGCTGTCATGTCATAATTGCTACCAAAGACCCAACTTATCGGCTGGAGACTAACACAATTCACAAGGAGAAAATAACACTAATTAAGCAGCGAAATAAATTCAACCGTAGGTACATAACATTAGATTTATGTAATTATAGGGGTTGTCTAATTTCAATTAGAGAAATACGCCCTCTTTTTCAATTACAACAGGAAAATTACGAAACGAAACTACTACTAACAGAGATTCCTACTCGTACAGTTTTTACTCTCTCTCTCTCTCTCTTTTCAATCCTTATCTACCACAAGTCAACGAAACAAATCCAAATGTGTAAGGAAAAACTAAACGTAACTCTTTTCATAACTCTATTACACGTAATGAGATTTTTAATGATCACTTTTTATTTTATTATTTCAATAACTTTTAGGGCATGGAATTCCCATTAAATTATCAAGCAAGTATGCAGAACAATAACCAGCCAACCCTTATTTAGCCACAACTAAAATAAATTATTACAATCTTATAAATCAAAATATAAATATTATTGTTTAAATAAATATATAATTCAATTAAGGATGTACATAATCAAGAACTATATAAATATTATAATTTTGCTGTTTTCAGAACTTCCGTGATGTGAGAAACATGACATTACTAGCTACTAGGATTGCTAACTTGTTTGTTTCGTGCCTGTCGTTTGTTGTTAATTTTATTATACCTCTTACACTATTATTATCATAGATCTGATAAAATAATAATTTATATCACTGATTATTATATTTTATTTTCTATATATTTCAAAAATATTCATGTTTTAATATAATTTGACAATAAAACTAAGAATTCGCTAATAGACTCGTACAATAAATAAGTACAATGAAGATGATGTAATTCAAAATTTCAAAACGTCTGTAAAATAAAAATATGAAAACACGTTTAGTCACGTACCTACAAACATTATTTTTATAAATACCTAACTTTTCCTACATTTTTATTGTCAACGTTTTTTAAAACTTTTGTGTTCAAAACGGAATGCGTTTCATTCATCTTGACTTGACAATATTTTGTTTGTCCATAGACGTTAAAGTTTGTAAGTACCTATCAGCTTAATAATCAGTCGAATTGCAAATTAACACCGATTACTATTACATAAACAAGTGACTGTAGTACCTACGATTTTGAATAATCTCATTAAATCGAGGTTTGGTGGTGGTCGATAGCAGTGGTTGATAGACTCCACAGCAGACTGATAAGAATATAACCTAAAACAGAACTTTTCAATTTAAAAATGTTTAAAGTGAGTTTATTGGAATAAAAAGTAGATATAATTCAAACAAAATACTATAGAAAAGAATTGTAAATATTTTGTGTTACTTCACCTAATATCTTATTCAAAATCGTGTGATAGATCAATGCCGCGAGTCGTTTATTTTATTTTTTTATGAAAGATTCCATGCAATGCCAGATAGTTATGAGCCTATGACTTAATATTTTGATTTTTTATTAGTTCTACGAGTTATGTATGATTACTGGATAGTTTGAGAATAAGTTTTTCCAGTTTTAATATTTACCTAACCTTTGTACCATGTACTAAAATGGTTAATATGTTTTCTAGGGTCTAGTTGGATTAGTGACTGGAGGTGCGTCCGGTCTTGGTCGTGCCACTGTCGAGCAACTGCTGAAGCAAGGTGGTAGAGTAGTAATTTGCGACCTGCCTTCAAGTCCTGGACAAGAGACAGCGAAGCAGCTTAAAGAAAATGTTGCATTTGTGCCTGTTGATGTAGGTATCAAAGATCAAAGGTCGATCAGTCGATGTAACTTACATTAGTATATGTGATTGTTATTTACATATGTTACATAGGTATAATCAAGATTAGAAATAATTTGAAATATGTTTTTACTGTGACATCTTAAAAAGGTTTTTCCAATCAGGTTACATCAGAAAAGGATGTTAAGAATGCATTGCAAACCACCATAGACAAGTTTGGTCGCTTGGATGTTGTTGTGAACTGTGCTGGAATTGCCACAGCGTCTAGAATCTACAACTTTAAGAAGGAACAGCCATTTGATTTGAAATCTTTCCAGAAAACTATTGAGGTTCGTATGATTTGTCTATTTTATTTTACTTATTAAGAAATAAATAGAAATGTAATTATGAATGCTATAATAATGGAAATTCTATTGAAACTACAAGTATAAACACATTATGCCGATCTTATATATATATGGGGTATATTTAAACAATCTTATTAGACAGAATAATATAAATCTTATACTTTTATATAAAGCGGAACAGTTTGTTTTTCTGTTTGAACGCACTAATCAACGTAACTACAAGTCTGATTTGAATAATCCTTTTTGTGTTGGATAGCACATTTATCGAGGATGGCTATGGGCTATAAAACATAACACTACGACCAATAGGAGCTGAGCAGAGCGTGCAAAACCGCCCGAAAGTAGCTAGTTATGATATATATATCATCACATCATTCACATCTCATTAGCTTCATATAAATATCATCAATAATAATAGATATATGAAAGGGTAAGGGTATGTTCCGTAAACTTTACTATACTGCGTCTAACTTCCAAATTATACAAAATACATTATAGATACAATATAGCAATAAGTATTTAAAGTATTAAAATAGTCTTTTCGTAAAATAAATTACGTAAAGTAAAATGAGTTGTTTTATCTCTGTTTTTAACAACATGATATAATAAAAATACTTTTTACATGGGTGTGCGTACAGATAACAAAGATAAACTGTTGTTATGCCAATTGTTTATATGTACTAAGGGGCCATTCAAGTATTACGTAAGCACCACGGGTGGTGGGGGGGTCTCTGTTTCGCTTATTTTGGATGATATGGGAGGTAGGGAAGTTTTTTTTTAAGGGAAGAAAATCATCGAATGTCTGCTCCCGCCTGGGTGAGGGGGGAGGGAGTGTCAGACTCTTACTGATTAAAAACCACCCCGTTCCTTAGATGATGATGACGTCATCAGTAGTTATTTACTTTTTTACACAAATGTCAACCCTCATATTGAAATTATAGATTACAAGTAAAGACCAACAAAGAAATAGACATTATGGTATCTAAGAGAATATTAAAATTAAAATATATATAAAAATATATAATTTAAAATGTTTACGTAAGCAAACGTGGGAGGGGGTAAGATCTTTGCTTACTTTTGCTGACAAGGGGGATGGGGGGGTAAATCATTATAAAAAAAATCTGCTTACATAGTATTTGAACGGCCCCTAATAGCAGTTACATAGTCTTAAGTTCATTTTATGTGACAAAAATTATTTATGGTAAACCGTTTTAATGAGCACTATTCTACCAATCCAGCAACTTCGGTTGATATTCAGAATGGAGGTAGTTGTGGAAAAAATAGATTATACTGAATGGTTATCAAAAGTGTGTGCCAAATACCCGATCAATCTGGGGTCCGTTTAATCCGAAGGGGTAAAATTCCAAATACTTTTGACAAATAATATTTTATTTTTTAGTTTTTTTAATATGTATGTCTTGTAATTGTATGTTTTGTTAGTATGTCAATCCGATATAAATGGTCAAAGCCCAATTAGGTGTGCTTTAATGATGTGAACTTTTCTATTAGTTATATTCATTAACTGATTTCAAGAAAGTACTATTATTTTTTATAATAAACTATTATAAATAAATTAGGCCTCAAAAATAATATTACAATTCGTTATACCTATATTTTTGTTATCTGGTCTGATATTCAAAATATTCTCATAGCTATGGGTAATGAGATGTGATGTCTACATGTGTGTTGTGGCATAATAAATGGTGTTTTTTTTTCTTTTTTTCAGCTAGTTAATTATAATGATAACTTTATTTACATTAACTCATCGAGTACCGGTTTTGCAGACACAATTATAGAACAATAGGTTGCGGTCACCGGTGACCACTTGGTGTTTGACAGTTTAATAAGAAACTATTTACAACTTCAAACACACAATAATATAATGTAAATTAATAAATAGTTACCCCTTAGTTATAAAATTTGTTGTATTCTAAATACCAGTAGACAGGACAGGAAATAGCAGATATTTTTTTACATTTTGTAACTATTAAGAAAAAATTCAAATTAACATGTTTGGTTTCAACATGCTAATTAACATCCCCTGATATTGCCTTTTAGACAATTTCCTAAAGAATTATTGTTATATTACAGGTTAATTTAATTGGAACTTTCAATGTGATCCGGCTGTCAGCTGGTTTGATTGGTAAGAATGCCCCAGATGCTGATGGCCAGAGAGGAGTGATTGTGAACACTGCTAGTGTTGCTGCTTTCGATGGACAGGTAATCTATCAAATATTTTGTAAATTGTAATCCTCCACTGCCTCGTTAGCCGAGTGGTCGCAAGTGCGACTGCCGGGCAAGGGGTCGATTCCCGGGTCGGCGCGCAAAGAATATCTGGGTTGTTAAAAAAATCTCGGTGGTAGCATGGAGTCTGGAATTGTGCCTGGTATATGGCAATAGGCTCACTCCCTATTACATGGGATTCATAACATAAATAGTGAAAAGTGGTTATTACATTGTACAGTGGCATTGAAGCCGTAATGTGCAACTCTGCCTACCCCTTCGGGGATAAAAGGCGTGATGTGATTATATAATCCTCCATTTCTAAAATGTTTTTAAACTGCAACCAGCTTAAATAAAGATAAAAAGCTAAGTTATTCGGAATGAAATGCCTGTACCAGTATCATTCAATGTTTCCTGGCCACACAATGTTTTAATCAAGTGTAATGTCGTAAAAGGAATAAGTTGAATGAAAATGATGAAATGCAAACACAAAACTTTTGATTTTTATAGATTGGTCAAGCAGCCTACTCTGCATCAAAAGCTGGCGTAGTGGGTATGACTTTACCCATAGCCAGAGACCTTGCAAAGCAGGGTATAAGAGTAGTCACCATTGCTCCAGGTTTGTATTATTTTGTCATTATCAACACCTAGGCCCAATTTTTCAATCTACAGTTAACTCTTAACTGTAGAATAAAATTGACATTTGACAGTTTTTAGTATGGAAAAATTGTCAAATACATATTATTCCTAAAATAATTTAATTGGCGTTAAAAAATCGGCCCCGTCTTCTTAATTGATTTACTCTGTCTTCGTCAATGCCATATTATTCCTGTAAAAACAATGACACGGATAAATATTTTCTGTTGATGAAGGTAAGGTGCGTATAAAAATATTTAGGGTTTCGGTATTATATTACTGTGGAGGTAAAAACCAAAAGTGCGCCTGCCGATTAATGTTTTTCCCTAAATATTCAGTAATAGAACTTGAAAACAGTGTTGGTAATTGTGATAGACCTGTCTCTTATAGAACGAATAACAAACTTGGCGAAGTGTGGGTGTTACATTTTGATAATATATTATGTATAATAAGCTCCTCAATTGCCAACACGGGAATACATATAATGCGTTTCGTTATGATACATAGATATAATATAATAATCATATGCTTTTTCAGGTTTATTCCGAACACCAATGATGGAGCAGCTACCAGAACCAGCAATAAAAAGTCTTGAAGCCACTGTGCCATTCCCTCCTCGGTTGGGACACCCTCAGGAGTTTGCATTGATGGTCCAAAGCATCATACAGAACCCCATGCTCAACGGTGAAACCATCCGGCTTGATGGCTCACTTCGGATGCAGCCTTAGGTATTGTACAAAGAAACTTCGTATGGTAGATACTAAACTATGAAAGAGTAATCCTGGTTTTTCTTAGTTATATTATAGGTATATATTATTATTATATTGTATTTTATACATTTGGTATATAAATAAATTTATTTTTCAATTTATATTTGGGTATTATTTTAGATATATATCCTATGTTTAGTAATAGGTGTTTTTGGTAGTGTACTCTAGTTATAAAAATGTATTGTAGATCAATAATGGAAATATTGCAGTAATAACTAGATTAATTAGTAAAAACATGTATTGTAGTTTAAATTGTAATAATACCAAGATGTCCAAGACTAATATGTAAGGAACACTCTTAGAGTAAGTACTTAAAAAAAGTAAGTACAGAAAAAATATAATATTAAAAGCCTATTTTACAATATCTAATGCTCGGCAACATTAGACATTGTTGTTAGCTTAACTAACAAACATTTTTTTGTTATCTGTCAGATTATCAGAAACTTAGGGCCGATTATTTTCACGCGAAGTAAATATTAACTGAGGAATAACTTTGAATATTTGACAATTCTTCCATACTGAAAAATGACAATTTTATACCACAGTTCACAATTATTAGGTATCTGTTGATTGAAAAATCGGCCCTTAATCAAAATTTTTTAGACAAGCTGTTATTGGTTTTCATGTAGTTAAAAATCTAAATATTATGTAGATCAATATCTTTACAATTATTTATCATGTCCATTACAAAGAAAAGAGAAATGCAATTTGGTATTAGTTACTGTTAAAACCTTTAAATACTATATAAAATAAGTAGTCAGGTATAAAATAAGTACTTTCATTGATATATATCGCGTATAGCAACTAAGTTAACTTAGTAAAGTAACACTGTAATAAAAAAAGTCGTGCCAGAGTTGAGTGATGTTTTCATTTAATTTGGAATAAACAGCATAGATGGCGCTTATCTTCAAATTGACTTTTCTTTCACTTTTTTGTTAGGGCTATTTCTTGCATTCTCATTTTATCAAGATAAACTTTGTGTTCTACTCCCGGTACCAGCAACTATTATTAATTTTCAAAATCAAGTACGAAGTTCAGACTGAAATTGAGCCCGCCATGGGTAATTAGAACGAGCCTTATTATTTGAGACATCTTCCACTGGTGTGAAAGGACCAGTGGAAGGTGAGAGGTGTTTTCATTAAATATGATTTTGTCTTCACTTGTCTAGCTACAGCCACGGGCTACATCTCTATTTATCTTCAGTAAACAAAAGGTGATACGTTTTGTAACTTTGCTCCTTCCACGTATTTACCACATGCCTAATCTGTGTTTACCTACATCGTGGAATCAGTAGATATCGATTTTTTGGGACAAATCCATTAGGCTTATTTATACAACGGGAACGGGAATTGCGCATTAAATTCCCGGGATTCTATTTATTTATGTGCTATCATCACGTCTTAAGTCTTTTCTCTCCCAAATAAATTCGTCTTTCTTATTCGTTAACTCTTCAAAGAATGGTTATAATTCCACGATGATATAATTTCTTCTTGGTGTATCTATCTATAGTGGCGGGACTACAGGGTTGGCAAGTCGGAAAAATGTCACAGGCCTCCAGCTGGAAGGGGTCCCGTTCAGGAGTTTAATCTGAAATTCTCTGTTTTTTTAAATGGGAACTGTAGCCCATTCGATGAATAGGCACGGGCCCCGAACGATGTAATTAGGCCACTGGCCACCTACCTATTACCGCTTGATGAAAAATTATCAAAGGTGTCAATTTTCCGATCTTTATCTGAGTTTGGTACCTAATTAGGTCGTCAGAATAGAGGTCGATGTTCAATTTTCTCAGTTTATATAGCTTAATGAGTAAACAAAGAACGTTAATTGCTATTCAAGTATTTACCTACGTATACAGACAAATTACGAACCAACGAGTCTCATGAGACTGTGTTTGTAGATCGGAAAACCCTATAGTTCTGTGCCCGAAAGTAGCACAAGTCGTTTAAAAATGGTTTTACCATATGATCTAGTTTATAATGATCGTTTAAAAAGAAGGATAATCGATTAAATTACCGGGCCACGTTTGTTATTGGCTTGATAATGCTTGCTGCGCATTTGGATTCGATAAGGATGAGGCATGACCCAGTTTCGTATGATTACAAAACATTTAGATTGCCCAAACAGCTCTTTGTGCCGTAAATACCAAACTGATATGAATAATTTATATCTACCACTATTTATGTCCCTATTTCATTTTCAAATTCATGTTAAATTGTTTCTTAAGAATTTTGATAAGTATGCAAAATAACTTTTATACATATTTCTTTTGTCAAGTCAATATCGTAGGTATAACATTATAATGCAGCCACGTCAAACCTATATTTTTCCTTTGTTGGCTTTGTTGCAAAATGTATATGATTAACACATTTACATCAATTCTCAAAAAAGGTCATGCCAGATGAAATCTGTAACTGCGTTTCGCCATCGTCGAATGAAAATTAGCTAAAGTGGTATTTCAGTCCCACTTTATCTTTTGTCACATATGCCTGGTACTGTTCACAGTCTTCATCATTTTTGTGGCAAATTATTTGTACCTATAATAATATTTAACATGAGCCTATTAGAACGTCGTTATTCCGAAATCTTTATGAACCTAGCCTTTGTTTTAATCCAACTCATAATCTTCCTCCATGATCTCTGCCAAAATTTAGTTCAATATAGTCTCGACTCGACTGACAAGCAGCTTAGGGTTCTATTTGATATCAATGCAATTTTTTGATATTAGAAATTTTCACTTCTGGCGTAGGCGAGACATTGGCGAAACGTCGGCCCAAAAAAAATTGCAAGATATTATGGTAAAAAATCTCTACGAATTCCATGCAATTTGTGTAAGTAGGTATTTCTAATGTAATATACTTTTGAGACCATTTGCATGTTGCATTTTTATTTGGATTAAAAAAAAACAATAAAATAGATGTGAAGTTGGTTTCTCTACTATAGGTACTCCCATAGTTCAACTTGTACTTATTAGAAAATTATTTTTTCGGTTTTTCAAATATTATCAGTGGCGCCTAATATGAGCAATAATTGTCACGTATATAAGACGTGTACAAGAGAGAAATAAAACTAGGTTTAGAATTAATAAAGTATGTGGGTATATTAAAAAAAAAATTGAAGGGTCTGCCTAGGTCTTTAGCACTTGCTTAGTTCTCCACACTTCCCTGGCGAGCTCCCGTCCTCCAGGCGTAGTTCCGTCAGCTCGGCCACTCCACTCAGGTGCTGTGACGCCACTCCACTCAGGTGCTGTGACAGGTTCGTTGTCCGGTTCGGTTATTGAAACCGTGACGTAAGGCAATAAGCGCATCCCCTATTACATGGGACTTATAACATAACTGGCCAACAGAGGGTGTTACATTTAATACCTCTTCCTCTTAGGAGAATATAAGGCGTGCTTTTATGTGATAATATTGAAAAACATAACTCCCGTAATAGCATCACAGTGATTGTTCCACAGTGAGACAGACTTGACAACTCGGGTCTAACACATGCTCTTAAAACTATAAAGGAATTAGGTAACGGAAGGGAAGTAAATAATTGAAATTAGAATTATTTAAACGAAAATATCATTTATTTCTACAATAACGGGCGGCGGCGCGAGCGCGCGCCCATCGCCGCCGGCGCGTACGTGCGTCTCACAATATTTATTAATCACCATGAAAATAAATACATTGAAGATGCTCGGGCGACATCTCACACCGCCTTACATATCATCTATGTTGCCATCTAAAAATAGATCATTGTGTTTTAAACTTAATGACACCTCTAAACAATAATGATAATAAAAATAAGTTTAAAGATTTAGCGACAACAATAACTATTATATTGTATAAAAGACGCAAATGTGAGGTAATGACACGGTACAATTATGTGGCTGTGGTAGCTAGTGCCGGTTGCTCCACTCTAACTGAACTGCAACGAAGCCGCGTCTACTGACACGACCCCCTCTCATTGATTTACGTATCAATGTTAAATCCTTACAAGGCAATGTGTAATTAAATTATTCGTGCCGTGACAAATTCACATTGTATGCATCTATTAGAAATATTTTTTTACTATCATTAAGTGATGTCAGCAGTGATGTGGTGTTTAAACGTAGGACGTTTAAATACAGCTAAGTAAAATTGCGAACACTCGTTCAGTTAAAATGGTAGCAGCCTCACAATAAGCCTTCGTGGCTGAACATTACTGGGTGTACTTATGTTATTACAATAATAACTATCAGAACGGTCACTGGACCAAGTTGCGAGGGTCGTGTTCCACTCGTGGCGTGGACGGAGCCGCGAGCCACTCTTAGGGTCCGGGCTCGTTGTGCGTCTTCGTACTCGTATACCATACACACTAAAGCTAGGTAGATGCCCCGCAACCGTAATCCCTGCCCTCGACTCGTGACCTCACCACTTCTTTAACAGTAACACATAAATAGCCATACATCTAAGATGGTATCACTTTAAGATTTACTTTATTTTATCAACAGCAAATGCGGTATTGCATTGGTATTTGCCAGCCCCATATTTTCAGATACAACAATTAACCATTTAAGATGAATGCAAACTGTATACCTCGCCCTATCTATATGTACAATTGATAAAGTAGAACTAACACGGCGCGCGAAATAAAGTTAGGTGCAACAGAAATTATCGCTTAGGTACTTAAGATTTACAGCTAGTATGAACCCTTCAGGCTGAGGCCTGTCGATTCGCTCAAATTCACATCCTCACATATAAACTTATCCACGAGAATACTATACACAGACTAAAGTTAAACAACATCGACTGAGATTAATCCTAACTTATCGTTAATGAACAACAAAGTGGTAAACTTACAAATTGCAACGCTTGTCTATGCGCGTCATTTAGCGTTACGTTAGCGATATTTTGGAATGTGTGCGACGCGTACATAGTCATCTGCAACCGATCGCGTAACACAGTTAGTATCGAGCAAGCACGTGATGACGAAACGAATTCATACGAGAGATGCAGACGTCGTCGCCGCGATACTGAATGCGAGACCAGTTACGGATACGTTACGCTGCGCGAGCGAATCTGAGCGAAATAACAGTGCCCGACGTTGGACGAGCATCCCGCTCCCGTGGGCAGCGAGTCGCGGACCGCGGCAGCCACGGGAACGCGATGATCCCCGCTGCGCAGTTTGTTTACTATCTATCACTTACACCTAGTTGAACTCAAAATTTACATTTACATAGAACACTCATCGTGTACCTTAACAATAAAAATACTTATAATTTTAAGTCATAAATATAGATATTACTTACATAACATATGCTAAATAACAACTTTACGTTGTACGATACAACCTAATCTTATATCTAAATAGTAGGTTTAGATTTTTAGATTTATATATTCAAACAAATTAAATATTTAAAGGTAAAATTAAAGTCGATTAAATCAAATGTGAAGCGAATGACAAAAGATGTAATAGCATGGACTAACAAAAACTACTCATTATGAACACTGGCACCTTATTGTTGAACCGTTTACTATCGAGAATGTAACCTTTGTAGTTCGCGTTGTAGTATTGTACTTAACAAGTCGATCACGTACGGTCTACCATCTAGGTCTCAGCAAGGCAACCTTAGGGCTTTCGAAACCTGCCGGTGCCACAAAGATTGCCATTGATAGAATATGTGGATGGCATACATCCCAGAGACCATTTCCGCGGCCAATTACTTCGACTGACTACATCACTATGCATACACTTATAAATTTACAATAATTCTAAAATCGATACATACATAATGTTAGCTAAATTAAACGGGACAAATCAAAATATAGTAACAATTAATTTACAGATAAATTATTAATACCACACGCTATATTCTATTGAAAACTCATTACTACTTTGTATTAGGTATAATGCGATATATAATCAATGTTGTTACATTATAATTATAAAGTTTTCGAACGTGGAAAATAAGTACTTGTACTTTAGTGCAAATTAACAATTTTTAGATTTGATTTTAAAGAAAGTTTAGAATTATCAACGCAATTTATTTAGATAAGCATCTCAAAATATTAATATACACAAATATATCATCTAATGCTATAAAGCGTCGCGATGTATAAATACATAAATATAGTATGCTAGTAGTAAAATGTATGCATGTAGTCGTTTGCCCCGAGGCAATATGAAGCGACCCCTTAAATCAGAAACGTGAATGTTGCTTGAATAATATATCTATCAAAATAATACTGTAAATCTAAGCAAAATATCCATGTGACTGATGATTAAATATAAATATTTAAAATGGTAACATGTTTGGTAATAAATTCACAGATCTAATTAAAGGAATCGAACATTGAGGTATAAACGGCTTCCGAACTAGTGGTGCTAATGTTTTGTAACTTGTCTAACACGATAGTATTAAGAATTCTTAGTTCACCGACTTTCAAATATGAACCCTGTCGATAAACGAGGTCTATTTTAAAGCTGCACTGGACAAACGGGTGTTTTGATTAAAATTGGTCACAATTACTCGCTGTGCAAACGCGAGTAGAATAATGACCCACGCCGTCTTATGTACTTAACTATGTCATACCATCACAGATCAGCTTTGCCTTTAATAAAGCCCTAAATTTGAGAAGCTGCGAGTTACTTCAATTCTGTATATATGCTTACACCGCTAGCGATGTAGAATCGAAGTGACGTGTGTGAAGAATGCTTTGGACTAAGGACGATCAAGAAACATTGAAAAGAGAAACGTGCGCGTTAAACCAATGATCGATTGTGAAAACCTTTTCAAGTAAATTAATATTACATCAGTACGTGCTTATTCCAAACAGATTCTTCCTTTTCGAAGCTTCTTTTTGTACCTATTTTAGTTAAACATTACTCTTTAAGTTATAACAAGACGTACACATACGTGGAGATTTTGATTAATAATTGTTAACTATTTACATAGAAACTGTGGTCTTCGATTGTAAAAAGTGTAGACGAAATGCTATAATGAAAATGTATTAAATACGGCAAATAACTAAAAATGTTACAGTCGTAAATAAATTTATATAAAACTTTCAACAGTGCTCATTAAAGAAATTCAAGAAATGTGTATATATTAAAAATTGTACCACAACAACGTTTCAAGGAACTTTTTTAAAGTTGTTTGTTACAGGTACCACACTGTTAGTATGCTACCCTTGCTGTATGCCAACTAGTATCACGTCTATAGAAAGTTAATTCGTGAATTGTAAAACAACATGATAATCATTATATTACAGTGTATCCTGAGTGTTCACTGGACGGTATTGTAGATATAATACGGTGCCATAGATTTGTACATTTTGTGTGAACCTACATGAAACATACTAAGCCAAAATGAACAAACACCATTATCAATAACCGTAATCTACTCGTTGACGCAACCTACTAGCTAAACATTCGCACTTGGTGCATTGGTATTACGTAAAAACAATTTGAATAATAACATTCAGTTTAAACACAAACCGTGAAATCACAATGTATAGTTACTTAAATGATTCGTTAGATTACGTACACTGTAGAGTACCCACATGCAGTTGCTTAGCGTTAGCGTCTACCGCTCGCCGTTCGGTTGCCAAACTATTACAAGTGTCGTCGTGTCGTCCACTTGCTTTCATCACGTTTCATGCTCAAATGTCGAAACAAACAAACTGTTGTCTAATGGGCAGTTTCCTTTCATCGAATTGACACCGTTGTTAAAGGAAAACGTTTTCAAATTAAATTTGTAACGTCGTTATGACAGATTTACATAGATTTTTTTATGATACACTTTTTATTCAATATTATGTATAATCACTTCCACTTTAAAAGTAGATCTTTTTTACTTGATTACGTACGCTACTATATTATTTGTTAGAAAAATACGAAATCATGTACTTTCAGTTAACATATTATATATGTTAATAAAGAACAATATGTTTTATATAAAAATACATCGCCTTCTTCGGCCATCAGCCGATAGACGCTAGTACCCATATATTTTTAAAAATCTATGATTTTTAAGGCTTCTTGCACGTACGTGGAGAATATTTTACATAGTTACACAATCATAAGTAGATTAAATCACTGCAAATGTGCTTATGTTATTTACAAGGATTACATTTGATTTTGTACTGGTATGGCCGATAGAAACAATATTTGATTAACTTTATACAACATTCAGATAAACATTTTAAGGAACAACTGTAAAATTTTAAACTTGATTTAATTCGCGATTAACTCTATTCATTATACGTTATATAATACACATAGACCAATATCAACATTCGATAAACTTTATTTTCAATCAAGCCCAATATACCTACCTACACTTAATAAACCTGTCGCTCCCCACAACTATCCACATCCATCAACAATCACTCAACGCCGCGAGACATGTAAGCTATAGAACACAACGTTTTATACGATATTAGTGAAGACAGTATTATACATTCAAATGTAAAGTGCTTGATAGCCATAAAAAGAAAGGTAATCTATACATTTTATAAGTAACACGAAAGAAATAAACTCAGGCATCGCTAGTTGCGCTGCGCAACCACAACATAAAATGTATGTACGTATGGTACTGAATACAACTAACATCTACAGTTATATTATACATAATGATCATTTCAACTAACATTAAAAACGGTTTTCATCAAATTTCTTCGTTTATAATCACAGACACTTTCCTAAAATATGTATTGTAATATTTCCCTTTGCTTACGCACCGGTGTAAAAGAGAACCTAGTTATATAATGTACTTACTCAATTTTGAAGTAACACGATATAGACTGCTAAATAAATTAACCATAGCTACACAAGACTGGTGTATAATATTTGTATATTATTTTACAGACAATAGGTAGATAAATATTTGTTTTATCTGTATCGGACTAGGCACGCGCGGCACCACCGGCCGGCGCTCGGCGCAATAACTTAAATTTGAAAATCACACACCAAGTTATAAACTAAAACTAACTAATAAGTAAAGTTTGTTGCATATTCTATTCTGATGCGGTGTCGGGAGCGCTTTGCGCTTTTGTGGTCTGTTTCTCTTCACTGAGACTTCAAGATCTGAAAACAGAAATTATCATAAGTATGGTTTAGATTGTATCAAAAGTTACAACATGTACCGAACCAAAGAGTAACTAAGTCACCGAACAATGACACACAAACAGATGTTAAAATTGAATAACACATTATGCATGTCAATACGACTTGAAATAAACATAAGGTACGTCACAGTCCGGTATTCTCAGTAAATTGAAGCCTTGCTCTCGTAACATAGAGCTAGAACCCAAAGTAAAATAACATAAAGGAATAAAAGAAAAAAGTGAATGATAAGGCAGTATTAGTGAAAATAAAAAAAAAATATTACGATGCTTATCGATTTGGAATAAAATTTTGATCTGTATTATGTCTTCAAGGTGGAATTGGAAGAACTACGAAATGTGGAACAAGGTAACTTAAAAGTCGAGCTCGAGTTATTTAGGAAGATAACGAGAATTGATAGTTATACTCGTAAAACAGTTACACACCATTTTTATTGGGAATATTGATAAGTATTTAGAGTTTAGACAATAAGTATTTAACTTGTATAATGAAAGTTTGTCAACACAAACGTAGTTTTGAATTTCACCTTGAAGTAAGAATACAAATTATGCCAAATATTTTCATGTTGTTATGAAATGCGCCTGCGATTAGTAGGTGGTTCCGTTATTTCTTATCTTTTTAATAAATTGTCCACACCCAAAGATCCTGTTAATTAATTATTAACCCACATTCCCTTCAGATACAATTTTATGTACCTCTTTCCCTTTATGATGTAACATAGTTATTTTAACATTGACACCTTGTATTTTAGTAGCAACATAGATGATTTATATTTTAGTTATATGGTACAGAAAAAGTGTTGATTGTGTGATCTCAATCTGCATCTGTGTCCTTCATCATTCGGTAAACCGAAATGATATACCAAGTAATTTACCGGGCTAATTTCTAAGTTTCTAATAATCCGGGTAGCAGGCTAACGACAACAATAATTTTGTAATATTTCCAAAAACGCTGATTTGGTGTTAGTCGAATCATAATCGCGTGCGCATTGGATAACAATGTTTTCGTTAATTTGATATTTGATTAACTCTCGTATAACCGAAATAATTTTATCGTACGCTCGTTTTTGTAAAAGTATGCCAATTCGCGTAAATAACCAAACACATGTGAAATAAATATTGTTCTGCATATGTGAGAACACTTTTAACCATAAAAGATATAGAAATAAAATAACTTGCAGTGAAATAAGTGCCAAAATTATAAAGTTGAATATTGTTTTAAAATGTGCAAGTAGGAAGTGCGAGGATGGTCTCGGTGTGTACGTTTATTGCGAGAATGCTTACTCTATATTGGCGATTGTTGCTCAATCGCGTCGCTAGGCAGGAATCCGCACCTGATACACACAGAGCAATTTCTTATAGTGTACACATGTCTCCGCTACAAAGCTTTACGAGGCCTAACTATGCCTGTGCGCAAGCCTCCAACTAGTGACTATAAGAATAATTCCTGTGTTTATTTGATAACTAGCAATAAATTAACTAATTATTACGTATGAAATCTTTTATTTTCCATGAAGCTATGGCCATGTGAAACAGATTGGTGTCTATTTAGAGACCATCCTCATTTTTACCCTCCTGTTTTAGTCGGCACAGTCTCGTTCTCGTACGTACACAATAATGTTTTTTTAATTAGTTTTAGTAGAGTTATCCAAAAAAGTTCGTAAACTATTGATGACATACTGCACTATCGGGTGGAAATACACCGCAACAAGTTTTTTCATATTTGTGTAAAGTAACCATTTTTCCAGCAGATATTGCCATTTTGGGTAAATAACAGTTTGTTAATTAATATAATGTATGTAGTGTATATAATTCAGTTTTTAAAGCAGTATTGCAAAATACACAATATACGAATGCTTCATTATACCCGTTTGTGGCCAATATAATTGGGTGTCTTCGAATTCGAGCATACAAATGATACAGTTTTAAGTGGTTGTTGATTGGTTTCATATGCTATAAGTGGCAGATAGAGTCGCAGATAGAATATCCAATTTGTTCAAATGAAGAGGCTTGCTTCATGTACATTCTGATACATTATTCAATAGTCGCGACTTTTAGACCATACGAATATCGGTCATATTATTATAATACAGTTTGCAACAGACTGTGTTTGTTTACATTCTCGGTGCCTGATGCTAGTTTTATTTTATGATAATTTACTTGAGCAAAATCTTTCGTCGTATCAGATAAGGGTTCATTTCGGATTGTATTAATTACAAATGAAAACCGAAAAACGGGCCGACTAACGAGTGAATGTTATTATTTATATCCAACTAATTTAATAAGGCCATTTACGTATACTCTAGCGCTTTATTAAATTAGTGATGCTAGGTACCTCATACGTAGCTAGCCTTGGTCTTCATTATGTACGATATTGGTACACTTTATGGTATGTGTAGTAAATCTGTGTATTGTTGTTAATATAAAAATGAGGCCATTATACATATTCAAATCATTAATTATAATATTTGTTTATAATATAAATGTCTGTTTTCCTAAGCTTTGGACACTTCATGAAAAATACTTCAATGGAAATAAATTCATATACTAAATCTAAGATTTAAAGAATGGTTCGTATGCTGTATACTTAAATACTTAATATATTAAGTGTGACCATTATACCATGATTTTATATTTTACTGTGATATACTACAAAGCATGGTGTGCGAATGATGGATCAAAATTGCCAAATTAGCTTATATTATTATAGCAATAAGATACAATATAAGACATAATTAATTACAATTTGGCAACTCTTATCCAAAATTACTGATAGATATTAAGTATATACAAATATGTCGGTTTCGATGGCTAATATTGTTGGAATCCTTTTAATTTATGTTTCATTTGAAAGTTACACAAATGCATAAGTACTGTAATTGTTATTGGTCAGTACAAATTTGTGTGTGTTTAAATCACGAAATATTGAGTCTCTATAATATCAATTTATGAAGATTTTTTTAGAGGAATAGTAGAGAGAAGTCTCTTATATAGTAACGTTGTAATATTAATATAGTGGCATTATTTGGACAAGGAAACATATTATTTATGGAAGTTGTATTTATTAAAATAGAATATTATACATTCAGTTATTAATTGACTGACTAATTAATACGTCTCATTACCTGTATTTATAAAAAAAAACAAATCGTCGTATTGTGTTAAAACTATCTTTTAAATGTTGACGTATGTAGGACACCATAGAGACTCGATATTTTTAAGATAAAACGGTTGCCAACATTATTAGCTAATTCTATTATGAGGCGCTATTGCATAAGTGGTATATAAATATATTAAAATATGATATGGTATAGAATAACATACAATCGGTCAAGTGTCGACGTGTGCTCGGCATTCCGGTTAACCATTTCACCTCCGTTCGGCCTAGAACGAGATTATATGCTGCATTTCTCATCTGACTAGAATACTGCCCGATTGAATATGGAGTCCCATTTCAGAATATAACCGAAAATATTTCATTGAACGCCAAAACGATATGATTGGATAGGAACTAACCAATAATTTAGACGGGAATTGTATGTAAACAATCTCATCTTGGTCGAGAATTTGGACGAATACAATAAGAAAGTGGTTGAAAGGGACACTTACTTGCGCTTCGCGTGCAGCATTTCCATGAGGAGAGTCTGTGTAGGTGCCTGTCCAGCGCAGTGTCGCTGGTACAGGTGCTCCTCGCCACGTGCGGCTAGCGCATGTATTTCAGGAACTACCATTACTAGTTTCCCGAATTTGTCCTGAAATATTACAGTGATTATTTCATTGGCGGTAAGCGGCAAGTAGTCAATAATATTGATACCGTCCATATTTCATATTTTAGTGACAACTGACAACATTATGAACGTATGGGCTAACACCAAAGAACTTTTGATTTGGAATCTTCAAGCTATTTACCTGTATCGTTGGATAACAGGACAGCGTATAGTCAAGGAGGGCAGCTTGAACTGTCTGATAACCATCTCGGACGCACTTCACATTAACGATGCCTCTTACTTCTGAAATGTCAAGAAATTCCTTCAAGAAAAAAAAACAATTTTGTGTAGTGTTTGCAAGACAGGACGTGGTTATGTAAAAATTACAAGTTAGTCTAACTTACATATTACATAAATAAAAAAGCAAGTCATTCGCACTGTGGGCATTAAAAAAATTCACTGTTTACACAGACAAATAAAAATAACACAATATAAAAATATGAATGACATTTGTTAAATACTAACCAGGGTTTAATAGAAGTAAAAATTTAACGCAAATGTAGTCTGGGACATCAAATTTCAGCTCTGCTAATTTGTTCTGGAGCTCGTTGAAGTGGTCAGCCAACGATGGTACACCCAGGAGACCCAGGCAGAGGAGGTCAAACTTTTGGCCATTGTGAAGTGTAGTCTCATCAGGCAAGCCATTGTGCATTCGCTGGTGAAGGTGATCTAACACCAACATGTCAGACCACGAGTGCTGCAACAGCTTCATTTGATCGTCGACCTGCAACAAATCAATACCGCATTGCTACACATGCAGGGCAAAAAGACCAACTTTTCGCAATTGATTGCGATGTAGGATATGAAAGTCGTCGTCACTAATAATGTATTACACTCATCATTCAATTTGATTTCAAAGTAATCTACCTAACAGCAAATTAATACAGAAGCAGTTCTAGTAAGTCGCCATATTGGTTAGTAAATAATATGATTTTCGCTTAGCATTTTAATAGAACTGCCTCTGTATTATAATTAGACCAGTAATACTAAAGTGTAAAAGTGTTGTAACAGCATATTAGTGACGGTAAAACTTGGACGTAGATAGCAGTTACGATGTGTTGGTGGTAAAGGTTAAAACCTTGGTCCGAGCGTGTACCAAATCTTGATACGATATTGCCTACATAAAATTTTAAGTTGAGAATATGTATAACTCCGGTTTTATCAATGTTCCTCTATGCGTCATTTCAATATAGAACTAATTCAGGTGTTGTGTGTAATCAAAATATTATCTGACAGTCGCAACCGACGACGTCGTTCCGTGACCTACATTTTATTGAGTTGCATTAGAAAACACGGGGCGGAGCTCGAGCGCGTTAAATTTGCCGTTTACGAAATGTTACAACTGAATTTTAGAGCTCGAAGGCATTGCCACACCGCATGCGGCTTGCTCAACACGATGGATCGAGATTGAAACGATAAAATTCAACTCGCACCGAACAAATTATTTCGGTCGAATACTTAATAGTTAATACCCTTGCCATTACAACTCTTATAAAAAATATGATTGTTTTCAAATTAAGCACGCAACTCTATAATTAAAATTTAATAATTTATTGTAAGTTTAGTTATTTTAACTGTTATCAAGCACTTTGAACCATATGAATACGACATAATGCGCCAACGATTTCAGTATCACGCGAATATTTTAATTCAAGCTTTTATTTTCACTACTTAGAGTAGAGAATTGCGGAGAGCAGTTGTGACTCATTTGCTGTTTCGGTTCTAGTACAGCTGGCACTCCCTTTGGGCGGCCATCTTGAACAGAGTTGTTGGTAATCGGTAGTGCGCGCGAAGTAGGTCAAAGTCGTCTTGAATTGCCGCGTGCCCAAAACTTTAGATACCAATGTCGTGACGAGAATCTTATTGAGATTACAAATATTTCTAATGCATAACTAAGTATCGTAAGTTAATTACAAGAGTAGTCCGTAATAAACTAGTTGCTAAACATTGTTGACCAACTTTTCTTGCCAAGCTGAACACTTGTGGGATTTCATTCAAGTGTCAATTAATATACGAAGCCAGTATATGGGTCAGAAGTACGTATCGATGTGCGTTAGTTGTTCGTTACGTACACTGTACTAATGACATAATATACTCCCATTGTCCAGTCAATTTTACTACTTTTCTATCCAGTACAAAATGCTAGACTGTCCTAGCTTGATCCAAAACTATTAGGATTTAATATCATATAAATAGCTGATGATCAAACGTAATGAAATTGAAAGGTTAAAATGTGACATAATTAAACCGTTATAATCCAGATTGTAGACTAAAGTTATCCTTAATATTTGACTGAATCTCTTACAAATCCCTCTTATCAGTTATCTAAATTCATATAAACAACCTAATTTAATAAAGCTTCTTCACAGAAACCTGCTAAGTATCAAGTCTGTTATTTTTAATAAATGAGTAGATATGCTAATAAACCGATAACCTAAAAATATCTACGAGTTCGATATCACTATGAAAATACGCGGCGGCTCAAGTTCATCGTGCTGTTATGTGACTAATCGCAATTAGTATTACGTAAGAGAAAGCGAAGAAAGGCCGCAGAACTTGTTACGTCTCCGTTACCGGCGGTTACGCGTCGCGGTAAAAAGTGCTTTCTCGCGGCAACTCGGCCACGGGCAGTGTGTCAAGTGCGCCGGCGAAAGTGCAGCGTTGTTGCCACCCCGCGTGCCCGCACCGTTACATCACATCCGTCTGGGGAAAGTTTAGGTCATCAACATCTGGCGCCCTCTACCCCCGCAGCCCGCCCTTAGTGCTTAGCGCTTTAGCAGCTACAGAGTTTTTTTCGACGATTCGAAACAAAGTTGTCAATTCTGTGTGTCGACCTATATTCAAGCAAAAATTGTGTAACATGAAAAGCACTTCGAAATACTATTATTTCCGTAAACAGTCTATCTACAGTGATATAATATATCTTCGTTCACCATCGTCCTAATTCCGAGAATGGGTCGTAAATATGTCGCGTCATTTTAGCACAAACAAAAATTGCTAGTTGTGAAGTGGAGGCTGTCTGTGGGAGTGAGACGGAATGACGAACGCAGAGTGGCAACGTCGCTCGCCCACATGACCGACTGCGGCTCTTGCGTAAGCGTACGACGACCACGGTGCGGCGGCCACAGCCGCTACCACCGACTTGCTCCCGCTTCTCGCCGATTGACTCCTGTTGATTGATTAACTCCCCGCCTGACACGCGTGTACACATTGCTAGTATTTTTCATTTATCAACCAGCGCGTATAACCAGTAAACGTCAGTGAACTAAAAGTTCACATTTTTGTTTTTTCTTACTTTTATGATTAACTAAATTATTCCTACGAAATAATTATTTATTAGTATCGTGATAAATAAACCGAGCAATGTATTACTCAATCTAAACCTTACATAACATTTTTCAAATAATAATGACTTGTCTGTAGTTTTGTATATGGAATTGAAGTGCGACCGCAGTGGCTGGCGGCACGCTTGTCGTGGGAACTTGACCCAGTTGGTGGCGCGGCGCGGGCGGCGCGGCGTATCGATTGCGAGAGGCACCGCGTCGCCCGCTGCGTCACACGCGCCCCTTACACGCACACAAACACATCGTAACTAGTCACTATCTGTGAGTACGCAAATCACTATAACCATTCGCAATGCGTTACAATTGACTGTAAAGAATAGTAAACAATGCAGTAGCGCAATGGCGTAAAATTCGCAAGCAAATTTGGTGTACACCAGGATAGGGGTTCAGGGATTTGGGACAGGATATTCATACTTATCTATAAATTCACCTTTAAATACTTAAAGAACACGGTGTTTCTCGCCCAATCCACTTGTGAAAATAAGTTTTGGTCCAATACTTTGCACATTAACTCGAAGAGATCGACCTCACACTGATTGTAAGTCTGACTCTGCAAGAGCCCAAATAGCGAATTCTGCCACTCGCGGTCATCAATAGTTTGTACGAATTCGCGTATCATGGGTGAGACTCGTAGGGATTCAGTGCTTGTGGGTTCGGCGGTGCTCGACGGCGTTGCGGCTGCTGTGGCTGGTGCGTCAAACGCGAATGCGTCTGGGGAGGCGGAGTGAGGCGAATGCGCTTCCCACTTGTCGTGAGCGGGTGGCGGCGGAGGCTGGGGCGGCTGCGGCTGCGCACCCAGCAAAGCTGGGCCTGGTGAAGACTCTGGCGATGATGTGAGAGATGATACTTGTGGGATCTGTATCTCTTGCTTGACTGGAACCGCTGCGTAAGGCGAGGCAAAGCCAAGCACTAGACCACTGTCTCCCAAAGATCCACGTAAAGTCTGCACAGCAATTTGCCTCTGTCGCATCATTTGCAGTTTGCGGGCACGATCTCTTTTGTACATAGGACCGAACTTGTTACGACCTCCTCGCATGCGATCAGCTCGAACAGCTGAAACAAAAGGAAACAAATTTAAATACGACGTAAATGTTGAAACACAAAGAATATTGTTTTTGTTTTTAGGTTAACGTTATTATGTTCAAAATAATATTTAGGCCATATTTGGTAGTTAATAGAGACAGTGAGATGTTCTAATGTAGGTGAGTCGACGGCATTCATTTTAGAAGACTTTACAAGTGTCTGAACACATTGATGTCTGCTGTGGCTGTGTGTTACCCACTGTTCTAATGAGGAATACATTTCCTTAGGTACTTAAACAAGAATTTAAATTTGTTTATTGAATTTAAGACCAATGGCGTTAAGTATATTGTTTTTAATAGTCAAAAAGTCAATAGATTGTTGTAAATAACTTAAATATGATTATATTTTTAGTGAATCACAAAATGATGAGTGTCAAATATTGATCAAAGATAAACGTTACCTATTTAGGTCATGTTATCAAAGATTATAGAATATTCATGTTTAGCGGTGTGATATTGTTACGTCACAGTTTAGTGTTATAAGTAATTGTTTGCCATTCAATAAATATTTAATAACTTGAAATTTGGGACGGTGGCCTCATAACACACGCAGAGTCGACCGCTCTTTATGATTCTGGCTGAATTCCAAATTCCGAACGCCGGGCGCTCCTTGCGAATCGCGATACCAGCAATTTATGTTTGTTCCGATTCTTTGTACACGAAACTGACTGACATCGTTGTAATCAAAGCTCATTTAACAGCAATTTATTTATTATTCAAGTTATTTCATAAAAGTCCACAGCATTGGTACATAACGTGCTCAGGTATCTTAGGTAAATTGCATTCAAGCATAAAATATAATAATTTAGCTGTTTAGTTGCAACTTAGAAAGTTTATACACACCGCTGTTTTTATTTACATTCTGCGTATAGTGCTTATATGCATTGCAATGTGATTGTTGTATACTATGTACTTTTTAATTAATGGATGATTTCCATTTATTTCAAATACCTACTGTTATGTTATCTGAATGGCAACATTTATTGTCACGTAAAAAAGTTCAGTAATATTATGTTCCAGTAATATTTTTGAGTTCTCTATAAATAAGACCACGGAAACCCCTAAAATGCAATTGAGACAAAAAATCAGCAGGTTTTTTGTGTGTATGTATCATACTGTCATTTACGAGTCTTAATTAAGAAATAATTTAATATGTTCATAGATGCAAAATGCAAAAACATATTATTTTAAACCTATTACATGCGACTCATAACATAAATAATGAAAAGTGAGTGTTATACTGTACAGTAGCATTAAGTGCCGTAATGTGCACCTTTGCCTACCCCTTCGGGGACAAAAGGCGTGATGTTATGTTATGTAGATGCAAAACTCAAGAAATACAAATGTAAAATTATTTATTTATTTAAATAATTAAAATGTGTCATGTTATATTGCCGCTTCAAATGTCTGAAGTCTAACAAATTACGCAAAACTAATCAATTGAAATATGAAAACGGCACTATAATGAGTAGCAAGCTCAGTATTTTTCTATTTTTATGGTCAAAATCGCTTACTTTTAGGATTTTTCAAGACTAATTTATAAAATATACTCATACTATTATGTATTTTAAGACTTCTAATGCTGTAGATTGTTGTGTGCACACTATGTGAGGTTTAGTGGGTTAGTTTAGTGTTTGACTATATTATAACTATGCATACTAAGCCTATGCATAGTATACTAAACCTGGAACGGAAAGGGGCTTTCAGTAAGTCGGCGGTCCGCCCAACTCACGAGTTAAAAATAACAACCAGTTTTTATTGTAGCCAACGCGGCACTGCGCGATAAAGACAGACTTACAGGGTTTCCTAAAGGGTTTAACAGAGACGGCGAGCGTAACGGATTTAAGCATTGCTGTGTGCAATTCCATCAGTATCGTATTGCAGACCGGGTCGTTTCACGAAAGGATTGTATGCGTTCTTTTGCATCAAGTGAAACATAAGTCTATATAAATAATTTTAGTGAATTTCATCATTATCACGTGTTCGTATATACCTCTATGCATAGTTTCTTTCATTTTATACTTCTATTTAATTTTTCTGTAGTATATTTTTAAGAAGAATTCATGTAAGTGGAAACTCCATAAAATCGATCAACTACAATTTTATTTAATTGCAGGCACAATATAAATGGAATTACTTTATGTAATAAAGTTTCTTTAAATGAATAAGTGTCAGTAAAATACAACACTACTACAATAACAAACAGAATACGTCATCGATAATATTTTGTAACATTGATGACGTAAGTCTGCGTTAGTTTTAGTGACTTGAATGATGCAGTCAAATATCTAATCGCGCTTTGTCGTATGATTTTCTCTCATTCTTCTACATTTTAATTCAAACCAGTGCAGAATCACTTTGGTGGTGTTGCAATGCAGTTTTAGCGTGTTTTAGGAATATTTAATAATTATTTTTCAATACCCTTTACACCTAAAAATGCGTCCTTGAAAGAATAAGGAGAAAAACGCAGTATAAAGAATAAGGTCGATCGATAGAGTCGATGCTATCGAGCCTATCAGTCACGAGTGCCTCAAAGCCTCTGACTATTCTTACTGCAAAGCCAAACGTCAAGTATTCAGCGAAGAAATGATACTTGCTGAAAATCATTCACATTAACATGATTATGTCAACATGTCGTAATACAAAACGTAGCACCGTACCATTTTTCCACATACTAAAAGTTATTGCGACCTCTGGTAGAGACAGTGTTTTTGTAACTTAGAACCATGCCGCCATACTACCGGACCATGGGACTCCTCTGTAGTGAGTTCTCTATTCAACATTCAGCAGGTAGGTTAGAGATCGCAAGTTAAAAGATTTCGTAGGTTCCGACTTGCGATGCGGGTACTGCAGTTCTGCTGCTCTCTCAGTCAAACGTGTAAATCTCTTGGTAGGCTCTTACAACACCTTTTGGCTTCATTATAAAACTTGTCTTTTACTACTTCTCTTTATTTCGTATATGCTTGCCAAATTGATTTCACAAATATGAATTTTGTTTCACTCGGTTTTAAAACTTAGTGTAAGATTGAAGACATTTTTGTGAAATATTAAAAGCTAGGTTCGTCCGTCATAAACAGGACAAAACGTGATAAGAAATCTATCAGATTAGCCCGATAATAAACGAATTTCTTTGTTTTATTATCAAAAAATATCTTAGAATTAATTGAGGTTATCACCAGATTCTAAGTTGGAGCATGTAACGGATCAGAAAGTTTAAGTTTACCAAAGTGATTACAGCAAGGGGGTTTGGGATCGATTGTAGAGGTTTTGTTATTTTGTATGTTTGTAATATTTTACGGTGGAGAATAAAATGTATTGTTGTTTAAGCTGAATTCGATTTCAATAGAATGTGGTGAATACTGGTCTAAGGGACGGATAGATGTTTTAGGAATAGTAACCATATGAATGGATAATTTCAGTGTTTTGATTTTAACTTCTAATGTAAAATATAATGAGCACATAGCGTATAGCAGCCGATAATGCGGTAAACGAGGTCAGTCGTTTATAACAAGACTAAACTAGATCAAGGTCAAGGTCATTTTTACAAATCAAAAACATACGTCGCTGTGACAAACAGCCGGTGTGCAGAAATAGATACATACGTCTGAGTTCACCTCGGATTCTCAAGTTATTTGTAGATCTGCCCCAGTTGTAGATGGGTCAAGGTCGACCTTGGAAAAGAGGTCATGGAAACGCATCATGTCTAGGTAATACCATCCGAATGTGGGAATGTTTAGGTAGAAACTAAGACCCCTTCATCCCTATTAAAAATCTAGCTCCGTACCTGTCACTACCTAAGTATCGACCTTGGCATACGCGTCAGGGCCGTCAAATGAAGTAATCGTGTCAACGAGATAAAAAAATAGTATGTACCGAAAGGACGGGAAGAGGTGGGGATCGCTCCTTGTACCGACGACTCGGTGAAACTTGGTCAAGGCTGGCAATGCCCCTCCTCTCCCCATCAGTCCCCTCCGGTCCGAGTACCGGCGGAACTGGCCGATCGCATCCGAACGCCCGCACGCACTCGATCGCGCGCCCAGATAGCGGCAGCGGCGATCGTTACACAACCTAGATAAATCACCCGCGATGATCCGCCTAACTATGTCAAGATCTCATCAATACCTAGAGTAATTTAGTCCTAGTAAGAATCCGACCAGATTTGAAAATTCAACAACTTGCTACGCCAGGCAGTCGCAATGTTGGTACACCTACCAAGAGTATGTAGTAATACCAGTAGAACCAATGTTTAAGATCAGATGCTCGGTGCAAATAGAAATATACTGTTGTGAAGTTGTCATAGTGGAAACTACCTATTACGCGCATACTTTTGTAACATGATTTTACGCACCGAAACCGGTTTTTGCGCCACGGAGGCGTGCTTGAAGCGCCTGCGCACCAAAATCCTACCAAGATGGCGGCGTTGGTAGAACTGTCGTAATAATACGACAGGTAATGCCTAAAAAATAGAAAGGCCCGGTGTACGAGGCCGCTCTGTCGAAACACTCGATTCGGGTCAAGGCAGCGCGCCGAAATAGTCGGCTGGCGCGCGAGTTTTTATTATTGTGATCTAACATCTGTCGTTGTCCGCGGCCGTCCAACCCTCGCGAGTTTCAGCACTCTGCAACTTTTAAATATGCGCCCAGCTTTCGGTATATGGCAATACTTATTCACCTAGTATGCTTCACTTGAAGAAAAATATCAATTGGAAATGTACTTAAATATTCTAATTTGATTAAGTAAGTACTAGTAGTTCAACTAGAGTTATGTTCCTAATTGAATCCAAATAGCAGTAAAAAGTGGTATATGAGTCATTTTGTGGTGCAGTAAGCTTTTCGATTCTTCTGAGTAAAGTACCTAGTAGTCCGCAAACAGAAGTCTTTGGTTGTACATTTAGAAAATATTGAGTGTGGATATGTGTGTCCATCGTTCCATCTGACATAATATTATATCGCCAATCACTGCCGCATCGTTTATTTCTTGTGGAAATGGTAGTTATTAGATCTTACTACGATTTGCTAGTCCAAACGTGTCATAGTGATTAACGGTTTTTGACAACACTATAACCAAACAAAAATTATTAAGGCTTGGCATACAGTATCATGCAAAATGTTTGAGACTAAGTTTTGTTAAAAAAGTTTTTCTGAGTTGTATCATTTTGGATATAGGATATTAAAATAATCCTACATTTTCAGTAAAACTATTATATACTTTCCATTGGAAACTTCGCAGTGTACGTTGAAAACTGAATTTTAGTCCTTCGTACAAGTGCCTTTATTACGTAAAAGAGTGAATAATAAAAGCACCAGGCCGTGTAACAACTATCATTATTCGTCGACCGTGGTCCGTTGCACCGTGCTACCGGTCGCGGCCGCATCACTATTGTGGAGGAACTAATTACTACATGAAGATATTTTAAGAATTTTATTATTGTTAAGTCAAATTTGTAACTGATTCACAAGGTTTACTAACGATATTGTTGCTATAACGGGTTAGGCTCAGATCGACTTGCTTTCTCAAACAATATGATTGTAATCATGTCGTATACTGAATGTCAATAATTTTTAGTATAGGTACACATTCTATACAAAAAATGGGTATACTTATATACAATCAACACATCTAAAACTCTAAAAACGTTGAAATTACCATATGTAGGTAATGCAGATCGTCATGTTGTGTCATAAGCGTCGCGTCGTACAAAATCATGATGTAAACTCATTCGCTTCGTTTTACATGGGTCTAATTTCATACGAATTTCATATTTATGTCTTTTCGGTATTATTCCACTATTTAACATACTGTGAGTTGAGATACACTTATAAAATGTATATTTAGCATTTACATTTCATTTTAACAAAAGTACCTAATTCAATACATCAATTACGAATTATATCCGATATTCGACGTATGCATAGGTACACGAATAAGTAACGTGATACGTGTCCAGGTCACATTTGGGTAGCCCATTGCGACAGGTCGACCGAACGTCTTGTGAAACGACGCTTGCGCAGCGTACCCCACCGACGACGGTCGATTGTGTCGAAACGCACGATACAGTCGCCGGCGCACGCCCGATCCGCAACCCCCACTAGACTGACTACACAAATCAGATATAATGTAATTTTATGATAAAGTACCTATTAGTCTACACATCAATCCATTTTGCTACTAATTACCATAAATTAAAGTTTGGAAAGAAAATTTTAACATTTTAGCAGCAAGCCATTACCGTAACTCAGCTTACACATGTTGAGGTTCCTTACGTAAGCCATGGGTAATTTCACTGTGCTGTTTTAACGTTTTAAGTTACAAACTTTTTTGTTTCTCTCGTGCCAGACTATAACTGTGTTAGTAATTTGAAAACTAATTGGATCCTAAATAATCCTAAATATTATTTGTTACTGTCCACCACAGACGGTACTTATTTTTCTGATCATCGGGTCCTTAAAAATGACGTTGTATGTAGTAAAACGAGCAATTAAGAATCCATTGGTTTAGAGCTGTAGCGTTGGCATTGCACAAGGCTTGCTGCAGGTCGGGCAGGCGGTGCGAGGCTCTCGCAACAGTCATTATTCGGGTCAGGCAACTATTTGTGTGAATTGTGTCATCTGACATATTACTCTTGCGATAAATATTCTTTGTTTACGGCGTGTAATTTTAAAACACTGAAATAAGTATTTGTATGAATTATTTACCTAATTTACCTAAGAATTATTTTGATATTTGTATTGGTCAACTGGTTATTGAATTAACATAAATACCTCTAGTTGTAGTTCCTGTGGTTAAACATAAATAAGGTTCATAATTTTGGTTTTTAACTTAAAATAGCAAAATACATAAAATCCTTCCATGTTGTCGTTGGATTCGTAAGATATCCTTGCAATGCTATGTGGATTCTTGAAAACCTATTTTGTGAGCGTGTCGCGTCTAACATATAAGTTAGACGAAGATGAGGCATGCGAGCATAAAAGCGATTTCTTGTCTAAAAATTTAGACTACATTATAGATGTTGCAAACATCACAGCATCTGGCGAAACGCGCAATGGCGAATGTCTCACACACACATCGGCGCATTAACGTGTACGCACTAACACAGTCAGCGCGCGCGCCGCATCGCGGCCCCGCTCGCAAGTAGGTCAGGGCGCTCTGCGGCCGCGCGCGTTTTAAATTTAGAACGATCCGCACTTCAAGCTCCGCCCCACACGATCACCTAACTACAAGTTAATGTATAATTTACCTTCAAAACATCCACCTGTAACCGCACCCTTGGACAGTATAGATGACTTAAGCCAATTATTAATCATATAAAATTATATGAATTATTAGGAAATTGAACATTAAATGAATTATGCATATCCTGAAGATCTCAATGATCGTGTAATGTGTAATACATATTTATGAATAAAAAATACACATACATCATTAGATTGAATACATTTTTGAAGGACATTTTAATACATTGATATTATATCACAATAAACTGGTAAAGTAAACGTGGATCAATAATTACATTATGCATCTTGCGTAGCAATTAGAAGGTTGTTTTAAATTGATACCATATGTAATTATTGCTAGTATCGCCATAATTTTCCAGAAATGATTCACTAGTTAAATGAAGACTCAAGTCTATCTATAGAAAATTAAATACCGTACTTATATTGTGCAGTGATTGATTGCGTTAGAAACGATCATTAAATAAATAATGTGCATTTGTTTCGTTATGAGATCGTTGAAGTTAAATTATTGTCGTGGTTGCTAAAACGAATTTGCTCTCATTAGATTAAGTCTAGTCTTTTAACCAACGTCTGTTTCAGACACCCTGCAGCGTCTCAGGGTCGACCTCTACTACTAAGTGGGTGAAGGTCGGCGGGGGAATCGCCGCCGTAGTCGTTACTTCAACATTATAGCAGAAACGAAGTAGCAAGTTTACAGGACTTGTATTAATTTGGATTAAATGATGTAATCTTATTTAGATCAATAGCTGTGATCTATCGAATACACATGAATTGCCGTGGACGCACCCTGTAATGATTATGTGAATAGATAACATAAAAACTTAAATTGAATGGAAGAGTATATTTTGCTGATGAATGAAAATATGTTTTAGATGATAAGACAGAAAAAAATCGTTACTCACCTTCGAGTTTCATGCCAACGTCGAGGCACTTTTGGAAGCGGCAAAATGGGCAGCGCTTCCGCTGTGTTTTGTCTATGTGGCAGGCTCGCTCAGCGACACACGTGTACACCTTCTTATTTTGTACGGTCCTCTTGAAGAATCCCTTACAAGACTCGCACGTTAGCAGCCCGTAGTGGTAACCGCTGACTTTGTCTCCACAAACGGGACAAAGTTCTTCGATCACATCTTTAGTGTCGGTTTGGTCGCATACTGTGCCGGCTGCTGGCAAATAAGCGCCTGGTTCGCCACCAGCGCCTGTTGGAAATAGATAGGATGTGTCCAAGTTTGCATATCCGAAAGATTGTTGTTCAGGAGGGCACTGATACGCGGCGCCTTGCGGCACGTATTGTTGCGAGGCACCTGAGGGACCCCCACCTGAACCAGACCCTTCAGGCCCTGGGCTCAGATCAAACGGGGACATATTGAGGGACATGAGGCCTGTTTGCTGGTCCATCGTCATACTCGGCCGCGTGGTGCGGCTGTTTATTAAGAATCCCTACAGCGGCGTTCAACCGCAACAACGTTCACACAGTCACCGAGTTCACTAGCGGTCTGGCCGCAACACTAGCTACCGCTCGTGGGTTGCACCTGTTCAAGCACTATTGTAGGAAGCACATAAATCCAACACATTTTGTTCAATACGAGCGGTTTAAGAATTTAACAAGCGTTAAGCGTCTGTGTCAGTCACCGAAGTAATTATTACTACTGTTCGTACAAGTGTTGACAGCGCGTGGTATGTTACGATCGCAATGAGTATTTTTTAACAACAAGCGGCACGCGTGCCGCTCGGTAGACGTGCCGCGATCGACTGGCGGGTAGCCGGCCGGCGACAACGGCGCGCGTGCCGGCGCCTCCCGCATGCGCGCCCCGCCGCCACCCGCAGGCCCCTGCCCGCTCGCACAATGGAAAACGATTAGGAGCCCATGTAATAAGTGAAAGTGAGTCGGTGACCCACTTTCCCGCGATCCAGGTCTATGTTAGTGCGCGTTCGCGCGGTTGCGCCACCGAGCGGGCGGAGGACGGCGCGGGGGGCGGCCCACTGACCCAGTTGCGCGCAGTGCCGCAGCAGGGCAGGGTTGCCGCGAACACCGAGCTAATGTTTACGTTCGCACTGCATTCGATTATGAGTTGTGTTCGCCGTACGTAATTGCAGCAATAAGTATTTGACAATCCACCGTCAATAATAATTGCCTACCAGATTTTCAAAATACAAACTACCAAACGATGCTTCAATGAAATAGTCTTGGCAGAAATAACTGTTCAACAACAAATATGAAAGAAATAATGTACTTATCGTAAGAGTCCTGTTTAGGTACCCATTTGGCTTTTTTCTTATTGTAATAACATAACCTTCCAAAGTATCTAGGTATTTGTTATATACATTAAGTATCTAGAACAGGACTTTTATTCCTATCGTCTCTTTAACCATTAAAAATTGCACTCTCTGTAACAATTCTGATTTCCTGAATTTATATATCAATAATCTTTAGGTACCCATTATATCCAAAAAATATTCGCTCTTATAGGTTTTTAATATTTGTTCAAGTGATCATAGTTGTACAAAAAATATTATTAACATGTTTCCACAATGGAAACGATTCGAGGCACCCGTCTATTAAAAGCAAGAATATTTGTGAATAGGCAATTACGTATTCGAAATTTACGTAGGTAATTTTAAGTCATAACGAGAGCCATTCAATATCAAAAGCGAAATAAAGATCTTGACCTGGATTTTGTTAAAATCAGTCAACAGGTCACGAACGAGTGACTGTCTGTGACAGCCTTGTATTCGCAATGTAATTCGATTCGACGTGTTCTACAGCACTAAACACATCGCCAACGGACGAGGATTGACTTCAATACGATCTCAATGTAAGAAGGTACATATACACTAGTCCAAGTATACGTATCTAGTATCTGTGTCTCCTTTACGTCCTTAATGTAATGATAAAATTAACTAGATGTAGTCAAGTTCCGATCTATCTTAAATTAGTCTAACATAGGGCCTGCTCATATAAAACATGGCCAAATAACGAAACTGCTGTCGTTACAAACATAAAACGACATGGAACTACATATCGTGCATAATAAGGCACAATGACTCAATAGTTTCGATTTCATAATCAAGACCTGAATACCGGATGAAAAGCGTCGGCAAGGTAGGTATACCCGAAGTATGTCGTTTTCGCTATCGCACAGACGCCACGACCTCAGACGAAAGCAAGAGTGCTCGCCGAGTCGCACGCGCAATGCTTTCTTCATGCGCAACTGACGTCACACTTTCTCTGGTCGATGACGCATATTGATGTAACGCATCGTAATATTGCGGTAATAACATCGCTTAACAAAGTATCAGTGTGTCATGAAGATGTACGTGTATTTATTTATTGCAGGTTTGGACTATATATTTATTTGCTTACTTTTCTTTGTTTTCTTTACTTCTAGAGGCATTTTATGCTATTTATGTCAATTGTATTAATAATGTAAACACCTAATAAAAGTACATAGAATGACTGCACTACTGGTGCAGTGACTTGGCAACTGGCTCCTACGCAATGTATCACGTGTTCTGTTCCCCCTCGGAGTAATTCTTGTGTGATGCGCAAATTGTCGTTCCGGGACTAGTGTGATGACTGATGAACGTGTGAAATTATGTGTTTGTAAACGCTGCACCCACGACTGAGGAAAGTAAGGAGGCAACATTTTTATAGTGAAAAAATGTTAGAAGACTGCACTAGCAGAGGTTGTAGATCACCCCTAAATTAATCAGGTTACGGTGGATAAATGGTGTAAGATTGTTTACTTGGAGCTGACTTAAAGCTTCGTCGTGGTTTAGTATTAACCTGTACACCTGTATTATAAAGAAACAAATGTACACACACATGTAGTAAAAGAAAAGTCCTATTCCCAAAAAACCTTTTTCGATAGCCATATGTCCCTGCTAGAGAAAAGCCTCTACCCCTGACAGTTCGATTAAACATGTTATTCCTGGAAAAAAACATCCCTATGATTTTTTAATTCGAACTAATTAATAATTTCACTTTAATAATGAATATTACAAATTATCGTGTTCATGACACAAACAGCTCGCGGTTATATTTACTTACATGTTTCTCGTTACAGTAATTTTCTTTTCAAATTGGTATAATTAAATTTATTAATACCTAAATTCAAATTAGTAAATTGTTTGCGGACGTACCAACATCTTTTCACATTATCAAGCTTGATAACCCTATGGACTTTATAGTCCCGACAGAAGTTTAAAAAACAACTTTTAAGTATACGTGATCTTTCGGGCATGTAAGCAGACACTTTTTGGGTAAATGTGGGTAGAATTAAAAAAAAAAACAATATTTGCAGATCGGCAGGCCCTGTGCGCATTTTTGCATGCAATTAAAACAATGAGATCACTCAAAGAACGCGAGATATGGATTGCATGGTATGAGCAATTTATTTACTATTTTTCAGCGTATTTGCGGTATTTACGGTTACTGTACTGATTGTAAAGGTAGTAAGAGAATTTAAAGTGGGCGCCGGGTGGCATTTGTTGAGTAAGGGGTGGGGTTGGGGAGCTATGAAAATGGGAGCAACATTTTAGGTTTCGGAGCCAAGTGCATTGGGTCACTAGGTCAATGATAACGTTTCGTTCCTGGAATTACGTACGTAGGTACAGGCTTTACTCTATGAACTACATAGTACATTCGTCTACGGCCGTGTTTACATTTATGAATGCTGGTTTTATTTGTAAACTCGCTTTCATTTCTATGAGTTTCACAAATATAGGTTTCATATTGAATGCTTTGTTCTTTGAGTGCTTTATTAAAGATATACACATTCAGCATAACTTATTTGTTTGTTTTCATTTAATTTTTTTAAAGACCAGGGTAACGTGTTATTTCGAAAAAGATTTTAAGAAACGAGTAATTTTATAGATTTTGATGTGTCCTTTTCTTAGCTTTTAATTTGGTTTTGCCCAAAATTGAAGAAGTTATAAAAAAGTGCTTATTTCGGCCTTCTTGTGTTATATGTCCAGCAACCAGATCAGGCTGATAAAAATGACGAATTCGGACACCACCGAAAAATCTTTATTTTTCGAAAACCTTGTGGTTTACTACTTTTGATAATATAAACGAGCTCATTCACCACCAGGTATAATTTTGTTCTCTTTAAGAATTCATATTAGGTTCATTGGTTATCTTTACTTATTCATATTGGTAACTCATGATTCATTATCTTCACTCAGACAATATATTATACTTGTGGCAGTGTTCATTTAAAAAGTAGAAGACGAGCTATTTTTACTTAAGGGGGAATGTCATACAAGATAAGAGCTTCCTAAAATTTCTGCATATACGGTGCTTAATCGCAGTATAAAATACTGAGGTAACAAAGTTGTTTACTTATTTATTTGACTTTTTTTATACATTCATAACACCACGCCTCTTTTTTCCGAAGGGGCAGGAGCAGTACAGGTACTTACTAACGGTACACCCAGTTTTCGGCAGTTTATTTATATAGCCATTGTATAATTTTAGGGTACCCTATTGTCAAATACTGGGATCAAAGACTGTTCCGACTGACTGAGAGGAAAGCAATAGAACCATCACCGAAGGGGCTGCACTTGCTTTTATAAACACTGTCACAGACGCAGTTTGCACTCGATTCGATTTGCAGTTTATTTCACTTTGATGACGGTCGGTCAGTGAAGTTTTAGGGGGTTCTTTGTTTACTTATAAGGGTGTGTCGTATCTGAATGTGCTCTGTAACTATATAACACAACGATGTTTGTATTTGTGTCATTTTTTTATAACGAGAAATGAAGCTGTGAGACAGACAAAATAATTAACATATTATGCATCTATGTTTCTATTGTATTTAGTCGCAATATAAGGTTTTTAGTAACTTTTGGATTTGTAGCCCGTGATCTTTTACTTAATATACATAGGTAGGATAACGTAATTCAATGGAACTGTAATAATTTCCATAAACGACGTTAAAAATGATCTGATCTGCTAGCTTACTCTTCCAATTCCGATCGATCGACGTTGGTATTGTAAAATTTCGTACTCCTGAGTTGTAACACCAGCGCCCATTGCAACCGTATTGCGTGGATATTGAAGGAACTAAATGGTATTGAGTTAGGCTTTATGTTCCGTACACTGAATGTTATATTCACAGCTACGATAGGGGTTGTATAGTTTTGACATTGAGTGATTATTGAGATTTTATTGGATTGAAATTGCATTGACATTGGT